CTCCTCCCCCTCCCCCAACGATGAAAATCAACCCACCCCCCTCGGCGCCCTCGCCACCCTCTACGACGCCTCCTGCATCGTCTCGTCCGACCAACGTCTCTTCCACCGTCTCCCAAACCTCCTCCAACCCATCGCCCCCGAAACCCTCGACTTCTTCGCCTCGTTCGCGAGTCTCATCGGTCCGGATAGTGCCATCCTCGGCGAACATTACTTCACGGCCTCCGGGACACCATTCTTCGATTTGCGATTCGGGGGGAATGCGGATTGGATCGCGGCGAAGAAAGTGGCGAGTGTGGTTTCTCCGAAGGCGAGTGTCGATGTGCCGTGGTTGAAGTTGGTGGGGGTGGGTGGGGTGGGGGTGAAGGTATGTTTGTCCTTTCTTTTTTCCTTTGGGATTGGATACTTGTTTTTCTTTCTTTCTTTCTTTTTCTTCTTTTGAGGACGATGGATGGGGAGCTAATGATGGTATTGATAGGAAGTCTATCGAGTTTATACGGCCGGGGGAGCAAGTCCGGCGATGTGTGAGGGGTTGAATGGGGTGGTGTCGGTGGATTATGCGGCGGAGTATTGGTTTTACGGATGATGTGTTTGGTGTTGTTGTGGGTATGGCTGGGGCTGGATCCTGATCCTGATCCTGATCCTGATCCTGATCCTATTCCTGATCTCTGGTCTGAGATGGGGATCTCTGCAGGATATTCTCTATTCTCATCGACTAGATGGGATCGGATAGAATAGGATAGCATACGAGACCTTCTTCCTTCGAGAAATGAAAGGAAACCTAACCAAATACATATAGCCTATTTACCATCTCATAGGGAGTAATGTCTCCTTAGCCCTTGAACTTCAGAGTAACGTAATACCCACCTGATACGAATTCTCATCTTGCACACTCTGCTAACACGCCATGATTTGACTTGGTATAGACTAGTCTACATGTATATAGGGTGAAATAGTATTTACCTGGAAATTTTTGTTATGTACAGTAAGTACAATTTCAATATCGGAATATATCTATCGACCACTTACTCTAGTGTCGAGGGGTTGACTTTTGGTATTAAAGTCGCTGGTATTGAAATGGAGTGTAGCACGGCATTTAGTACTAATTTCTAGGGAGTTCGAAATCTATACTCAATCTTATTTTATTCATAATAGATAGACATGTGACCGAGTACTGAGAGGATAAGATCAGAATAACGGTACGTTCCAAAGCATAAAGCAAATCTCATGGAGAGAGATGTCATCAACAGGGAACAAAGGAGAGGGACATCGGGTGGATGTGCTGACAGACTCCTGGTTTGACACTTTGTTCTTTCAGTTAGGTTTCTTCTTGATGGAAGATTGTCACTAGCTATGAGATGATCAGACTTAATCAAAGAAGAGATTCTCTACTTCTATCATCTAATACCGTGTGATCGGAACCTACACCTCACGTAGAGGTACTTCTCTCTGAATTTACTAAAAGTCCCTCACCAGTAGTCCTCACCAGTAGTCCTCACGATGATTCTCACCTCTCCTCTCTGCGAGGTACTTGACAATTCCTTCAAATGTGATGACTATAAATAGTTAGTCGAGGCATCCGGCGCTTACCTCATCTGCCCCGGCCGGCTCCTGCGCGACACGTGACTCTCCTCGAGCTGGAACCCCCCGGCCAGGCCAGCTAAGTAAGCTCCCGATGGAGGAAGCGCCGCTGGAACCCGCGTCCTCAACGCGTGGATACATTAACACCGTCCTCCCTCCTTCATCCATCTGCTCGATCAGTTGCGGATTATATTCTCTTGGTGAATTGGAATATCAGCGCTTGTGCGATTAAGTGCGATTGTGCCATATTCCACCTTATTCCCGATCCACCCATCCAGTGACTGATCGATCGATCGACCGACCGACCGACCGACCAAGCTTCCTGTGACCTACCTCTTCGCAAACCACTCGCTCACTCTTCACCTCCCAGCCATCCACCCCCATCTCCACAACAGACACCCCAGATATCACAATGGCATCAATCGACTACACCAAAAAAACCAACGCCGAGTTGATCGACATCCTCAAGTCGCGAAACCTCCCTCACACCGGCAAAAAAGCTGAGATGGTGGCCAGACTCCAAGAAGACGATAACAAGTCTACCACCGCCGATGCTGCTGCCCCTGCACCCGCCGCGGACGCTACCCCCAGCGCTACCAAGGCTGATGCTGCGGATGATGTAATTGATTGGGAGGATGACGAAGTTCCCGCTGCTACTGCTGAGAAGGCGACTGCGGCGGCCGGCGGAAAGGGAGAGGTGGACACTCCGGCTCAGGTGCCAAATCAGAAGCAGGATGTTGATCCGGCGACCACTCACGATTTGAAGGTCGAGGCGACCGGAGAGGCTCCGGTGGAGAAGGAGGGGGAGAAGCAGAAGGTCGAGGATAAGAAGGAAGGGGAGGCGGCTCCTGCTGAGGAACTGAACGCTACAGAGGCCAAGACAGAGGACAAGGCGGAGGCAAAGGAGGAGAAGCCGGTCGTGAGTTATTCGGCTGGGTTGCCGATTACGGAGTTGGAGGAAGAGCTCAAGAAGAGAAAGGCGCGTGCGGAAAAGTTTGGCACCACCGAGGAGTCCAAGGCCGCCATCGAGGCGGCGGAGAAGCAGCTCGAGCGCGCGAAGCGCTTTGGCACCGCCGCGGCGAGTGCCGGCGAGGTGGGTGTCAAGAAGCTGGATGAGGCGCTGCCCGAGAAGGAGGAAAAGTCGCGCAAGAGGACCCGCCCCGAGAATGAGCAGGCGGGTCGCGATGGGAAGAAGAGGGACCTCGGAGGAAAGAACAAGACTCGCGGCCGGGGTCGTGGTGGAAGTCGTAATCTGCCCCGGGGTCAGGGTCGTCCGCAGAAGCAGCAGAATGGCGCTGCCCCCGCCGCTGCCCCGGCTGCTGGGAGTAAGCCCAAGAACTGGAGTGAAAAGGATATACAGGCTATGGAGGCGCGGAAGAAGAGATTTGCTGCCGCGTAAGCCAATGGGGGGATGTGATTTCTGCTATCTCTTTACATGTTACTGGCGTTAGGGGAATTCAAGCTTTGGTCTGAATGTGCTGTGTCTTGTGTACTGGAGTTGCGGTTGAGGGATATTGTGATAACTGGCTGGAGCCCACTAAGACCCCGACCTGGTCGATCGGGTCGGCCATCCAGTGTAACTGGCCATACGACCCGGCTATTGGATCGGACGGTGTGACAAGAACGCAGGGCCATCGAGGAGATCCCGACAAGCTCGTTGATTCTGCCCGGAGATTTCCCCTGGATAGGCCAAAGAGCCGTGCAGGGTGACATGCGTCCATCGCCCGCGGTTTGCTTTTTCCCATTGTTTTCTCGTCTTTCTAGTGATCTCGAACGAGGGAGCGAGCCGAATATAAGGAGTAATTGCAAACCTCTTCATGGTGCACCGCATAGGCTATCGAATCCCACGTAGATAGTAACCTGCAAGCCAATCCTGTAGTGGAACTCGTAGCCCGGACACGTTCAGCTGAAAGGTGCATGGACACCGGTGCCATGACGGCGCAGTTCCTGCAGCGCCGACCGACTGTGGCCTCTGCCTTGATCGATCCGATCTGCAGAAGTCCATCACCACGCACCCTGTCGCATGTATTTTCCGTCCTAGACCGACACGCACACAACCAACGACCTCGAGGATCGTGATTGGGATGACCCCTATCACGAAGGAATCAGGGATAGAGGTAGCATCCGTCAAATAACCGCCGTGCCCACCGATCACAATCACAAGGAGGCCTTTGCTTTACTCTGCCGGGCACCAGCCTTTATTGTTGGTTGTTGGTCGAGGTGCGCCCGTGGTGCTAACTGCTAAGCCGGGCCCCGTCCGCCTTGGATCCGTCAATCAGGCGGGTTGGTCGCCCCGTGTTGAGGTCTAGCGGCGGATCAAGACCCACGGCTCAGCGACTCCGCATTTCCCTCGATGAGGCACATTCCTAGTTAATGGCAGGATCGAGATACGTAGGATTAGGGAGTAGGGACCGATGGTGGTTTGCTAGGTCCGGGGATCCACTGGCCTAGGTCCGCGGTCTCAGCTGCGGTGTGCGGCCTGCCAGTTCGGGGATCTCACTGGTTGCGTGGGAGGGACGCGAGGTCGTATATTAGTGTGTTTGGCGGTTGGCCGTTGTGAGGGTGGATCGAAGCATATGTCAATTTCATTTGTGTGATGGAGATGCCAGGATGGGAGATGTGACTGGATGGGGGGAAGTGGCTCGGGGCGAACCTTCCGGTGTACCAGAGTTGACGGTCTCGTACGGAGTACACAGTCGGTTAGATAGAGGAGACTTGACTCAACTGTCCAGAGATAAGGGAGGAAATGGTACTGTAGATCCCTCACGAGCGGAGCGGTTCATTGTGGAAGAAAGGGATTGATGCCGCATTGTTGCTATTCCTGGCGGACGGACAGTCGGCCTCGCCGAGTCAGTGGTCAGTGACAGTCACTGAGTCACTGACCGTCACTGACCCGGTCACTGACCACCACCTGACCAATCCAGTTGCCGCCGCCAAAATCTCCGGTGGGCATCAAATCAAACACACAGACCAGTTCAAGCTCGAAGCTTCTTCCTTACGGGTCGAGGTGACTGCGGCAATTCGGACGGACAGACCACAGAGTACAGGACTACCATGCTTGGCTGATGCCTGCATCTGCCATCTGCGCGTTGACCCCGGCAAATGGTCGGTTCAGCGCACGACGGCCTTCCCGCTATCTCACGCCACTCGCCTCCATCTCGACCTGTCAAGCGATACCGTTGAACAGTCCAGGCCTGTGATGCCACAGTGCGTGCCAGTCAGAACCGCCGTAGCAACCAAAGTGGGCCGGGGCATGGATTCCTCCCACTGTCCGTTGCCTTGCCCCCCGATGCCCTCATGGTGGTTTCCAGCCTGGTCCTCGGATCATGGCTTTGGACCGATTATTCGCTAGCCTGCTCGTGGCCTCGCGATTTAGACACACTCCAGGATTGACACCGTCGATAACAGATGCCGCAGAGATCCCCAAATAAGAAGGGAATAGGAATAGGAGAAGTGCCAGCGCCAATGATCATCCCGGTCACATCAGTGCTCGAATCCGGACCCAACGTCGATCGCACAAATCGCGCCAGGATTATCTGTGATGGTCTACGACGCTCTCTAGTCGGATCGTTTACCTGCGAATCGGATTGCTGGTCCCCCACTCCGCGCGATGTCTTCCTGGGTTGTCCAGAGTTGCAGATGGTCCAGATCTATTCCTGGCAGGGGACTAATTAATACAGGGCCCGTCCGGCGGCCCTTCTGCTCCCCTCCCCATCGCCATCGTTCCTTTTTTTTTTCTGTGTAGCTGGTCTTGGTTGTTCATTCTACGCCATCGTATGCAGTTCCTGCATAGTCTTCCTTTTATTAGACCGACGCTCTCTGACGTGGTCGTGCAGGCCCAGCTCGACCGGGTTTGATTTTTCGTCCTGCATTATTAGCCACGGTGGACTCCATCCTGTGGCGCAGCGCCTGCATACGGTCCTCTTCGGTCACTTGTATATTTTTATCTTATTTCCAGAATTGCGGGCTCATATCGCCTTGACGGCCGTGAAATTAATTATATGACATTTGCCCCGCTAGACGCGACCATTCTACGAAAGTATTCCTGAGCTTTCTTCCATCGGTGGCCCCGTTCTGAATAGCTTCCTTCCCCACCGCCAGATACCCCGCCTCGCGGTTCCTCTCGGGTTTCTTATCATTGTCCGGGATCTGTCACTGTCGCAGCTCGCACAACGTCCTGGCACGTTATGAAAGGGTAAGTGAACCCCAGTCCGTGGTATTGGCTCCATGGGAAGCTCACACAATCCGTATCGCTGGCAGCGTCTTCATCGGCTATAATTATCACCAGACGGAATGATTTCCTGTCTCCCCCATTCTAGTCCCATCGCGAGATTGTTGGTCTTCGGACTGAAGCTGGCGGCTGGAGCCAGGTTGCACCATGGCGTCGCACAAGTCTGATGGTGGTCGAATACCCCGGCTGAAGAATGCCGCCAGTCAGTCCCGGAGCGTATCGTCACCTGCAATGGCCTCCGCTCGTTTTTACGAGACCCCTGCCCAGCTATTGTCTAGGCCGCAGATACCAAGATTTACGAATGCCTCGACGAGAGCCACCCGAGCGTCATCGGTGTCCAGCGCAGACGAGTCCCGCCACAGTGTCGCACAGCCCAACCCTTCGAGAATCCCGGCCGGTCAGAATGCGCGCCCACCGATCCCCTCACGAGCCACCACACACCCAATGCCGCCGACATCCCTGCAGATGATGCCGGGTCCAAGTCCTCCGCAGGCCTACCACATGGCTGCTGAACCCCTGAGTGCCCCTGGCATCGAGAACCAGACCCCTGCCCCTGGTCGACCTCGCAATGTCTTGCGGAGGAAGCCGCCGACGATCGGTCAACATATCGCGCAGAACCAGCCAAGCTTGGAGAGAATACGACCGGAGAAATTCAATGTGATTATCCCAGATTTCCCTACTGTTGGCCATCCTGCGACCACCTTCCAACCCTTTCCGAGTCAGGCACCTTCAGCATCGCCAATGGCTTCGGAGGATAATCTTTCAAGCATCGTACCGGAAGCCCAGACCCATACCGGTCCGAAGGAGCTCGCCAGCCTCCGAACCATTGTCAATACACAAAATCTACCACCCCCGACCCCGATGATTTCTTCCGCCAGTAGCCCTTCGACCAGGTATTCCGAATCCCCGGGGGTGTGGAGTAGGACCTCGACGCCCACTACTTTATCTTCCTATTCACCAGGAATCGTCCATCCGGTGAAGGCTCCTCGTCTGAGACAGCCTAGCCCATCTCAAAGCCGACTGCCGGTTTTCTCTCTGACACAGCAGCCGAGTACTTCGAGTGACCGTGTGGCGCCAAGCACTTCACGGTCCCCGCTGTTGGCGCAGAGCACGAGATCAAGGATGTCCGTTACTGAGACCGAGGCCAAGCAGTCCCTGACGAAGACCAGTATGACGAGTATGGCCGACGCATCCAACAGCCACCTGCCCCGCAAGGCGTCCACAAGCAGCACGCGACGACTTTCCAACCAAGGCAAATCAACCGATGAGGCCGCCCCGACTGTAGAGGAAAAAAGGACGTCACGAGTCATGTCTCACAGAGCTAGGGTACCTGCAGACGTGATAGGCAAGCCCCTTGAAATACCCAAACGGCCGACCAGACAAGGGACTCATCAGTTGGTATTGGACCCATCGCCCGTGGTGAAGAGCAACATACCACCCAAAACGGTAGTTGGTCATAAACGTCGAGGGTCGACCGAAAAGTCCCCCGTTCCTGAGAGACTCCCAGTGCTGAATCGATCGGCAACCACATCAATCGACTCACTGCAATCGAGGACGTCTTCCCACATTACAACCCGCATTCCGCCATCCCCGGAGCTATCGCGAAAGTCCGCTCGACCATTGGCCCCGGAACCGAAACCAGAGGATACTCCGGCCCCCGTGAAATCACGAGCGTTTGGTCTTTTCACCAAGAGATCCAAGCCAGAAATGGACGTACGGAGTGACGGTCGTTCGGCCCGTAAAGGTCCAACTGCTGGGACGGGCCACGAGGGCTACGGAAGATATGCGCAGCGTGGCCGCAAACCAAGCGTCAGCAGCAGCACAAGTCGAGCGAGATCAACCAGCACGACTAGAAGTGGGCCCAAGTCTGTTGCCAGCAGCAAGGGGAGTGTTCGAAGCCCCGGGCTGGAGCTGGACGATTTTCTGCTTGAACGCCTGGAGCCTGTGATCATTAGAGGCGGGAATATGGATGAGATGGCGTCGCAGAGACGACCAAGTGAGCAGAGTACAAGTGGGTTCAGCACAGCTTCGACTTCGAATTTGACGCAGCCGTCTATAATCTCTGAATCGCCTGGTTGTTCAACCGAGACTCTGGCCAGCTCCAGAGCATCAGCAGACCCCGGAGAGTCAACCAAGGATCTAGGAAGACAGAAATCCTTCGAACAGCCCAGACTGACAAGTGTTCGCCCAGAAATTGATGCCAAAGTCATTCAAGCGCCTGCGGCTCGTTCCATTCAGGATTTACATCAGTCAAATCTTGGAGTTCATACTACGCCTCCCAAAGCCCCAGAGAACACGCAAAGCCCGCAGAAGCAGTCTAAACGGGGACTGGGTCTGAAGTGGGATCTTTTTCGGAGAAAGCAAGCCCCTGAAAAGTCAGTTGGCAAGATCTCGACTCCTTCTGCTCCACAGTTGCATGCCACAGTAGCCCCGGCCGCCGTGCATCGGCCTGTTGCGCACTACGCATTGATCGACATGGACTCTGACCCGCTGGAGGAGATTGTCCACAACGTTGAGAACTCACCACCGACTGAAGACGACGATATCAGCTCGCCAGTAGAAGTGCCGGCTGCGTTGAACATCAAGAAGACACCGGATTCTATCCTTCTCCCTTCGCCACCAAAGCTGCACGATGCCATATTTCGGGACCAGCCTCCGTCGCCCAAAGTCTACTTCCACAAAAGCCTGGTGCCCCAGAGTCCAGAGAAAAAGGTGGAAGGAGAACGCCCGACTCGTCTGACTTCTGTTGGTCGCATTCCGCGTGTGGTTTCGAGACGCGAGAGACCACATAAGCCAGCTGTGCAGTCGTTCTCAAGGCCTTTCAGTGTCTCTCAGTCACCCCCGTCGTTGACAGCCCCGGTGATCGAGAAGCCCGGTGATAGTTCGTTCTCACCCATCTTCACTCCAGACTCTCAATATGCCGCACCTCTCAGCAAGCCTTCCGATTACAAATTCGATTTCACGGACCCTTTCAAAGACCTCTTGAAGGGTAGTGTCCTCGATTTCATTGCAGGCCCTTACTCCAAGGAGGAATTCATGACATTTTCACCGAGAAAGGACTCCGTACTATCGACGTCAAGTGGCTCCGAAAGTCTCGCAGCGGTCACGGCCGTCATTCCAGAACCGGAATCTGCCTTAATGGAGGACGAGATATGGGGTGAATACGATGATTTGATCGACCACGTCCTTTCCCCGGAAACGACAAGCACGCTTTTCGAGGATGATTTGGAGGTGGATCACAAGCTTGAGCTCGCGACAATGGCCAGCAAGACACTCCAAGCGGAGCTCAATGGGCTGCCCGCAATGCCTGGCCTGTTTGAGAAGCCCGCGGTTGAATTCACACCCTCATCGCCCCAGTCTAGCACCGGTTCCGTCCGGCTTCGAAGGTCCAGGATCGCTGCAGAGTTGCATACGTCCATAGGTCTCTCCCCCCAGCCTTCATACAGTGAGATCATCGCCAGTTACGGCGACGATCGGAGTGAGGGCAGCGCAGCGGAGAAGGAGACGGAGAATAAGTTGTTGGCACCAAACCAATTGGTCGAACAGCCGTCTGCGTTGCTTAGTTCGCCAGCCTTAGTCTCCTCTCCCAGCTTTGAGATTTGTCGACAGCGCAACACTGTGCTCTTTGATATCGCTGAGCGCGACCGTGAGGGGCCCACTGCCCACACCAACATTCGATCTGGATCACTGATGACCAGCCGATGGCTGTCATTCGGGCGAGTCCTCTTCAGTCCTGCACATAAGCGAGCCAAGAGCTCGGACCCAGAGCGTATCCTGGTGGTGGATGGACTGGGCAACGACGACTGGTCTTTCTACTGCGCCTTGACATATCCGAACGCAGAGGTGTACAGTCTCAGCGATGGGCCAAAACCGACAGCCTCCAAGCACCCAGAAGCATGGCAGCCTCCATCAAATCACCATACCATCCATCATCCGAGCCTCGATGATCCACTGCCATTCCCACGGGCATTCTTCGCAGTTGCCGTGCTGCGATTTCCGGCTGCCTGTTCTGAACGGGCCCAGGATAATATCATCTCGGAATGTAAGCGCGTGCTTCGCGCGGGCGGCTATCTGGAGATGAGTATCCTCGATCTCGATATGGTGAACATGGGGATCCGCACACGCAAAGCTGTGAGAAAACTCAAAGAGCGGACATACATATCCGACCCTTACATCAGCTTGAAGCCTACAAGTGACAGCATCCAGCGCCTACTGGGACGACACGGGTTCGACAACCTCCGACGATGCATGGTACGGATCCCCGTCGCCGGCGTGATCGTCCGATCCTCAGCGTCCTCCACCTCGACCTCATCTTCGAATCCATCCATCCTCCCCGTAGCACCATCCTCGTCTACCACCCTCTCCCCTCTCACAGGCTTGTCCACCGCCGCCAAAGCAAAGGCCAAAGCCCACGGCAAGTCCTCCTCCAACGACACCGACCTCTCCCTCGGTGACCTCCTCTCCGACCCCTCTCCCTCCCCATCCAACGACGAGTCCATCCGCAAGATCGTCACCAAAGTCGGCCGATGGTGGTACACCCGATGCTACGAGATCCCCGTCCTGCCCAACGGCGACGTCGCTCTCAGCATCTGGTCCGACCGGAAGATCCTGCGCGAATGCCAACACCGCGGCACAGGCTTCCGCCTATGGATTGCCTACGCCCAGAAACCGAGCGAAAAGCGACGAACCGCTAGTGTTTAGTCTGCTGCTCGTATGCCACAGTATCGCCTTGCCTTTTTTTTCTGATGACTGATATGATATGACTTATGATAATGCCTATGCTTTCATCTATCGCATTCACCCAGACAGCTAGCCAGTGATGATACATGTCTACCTGTCTACTAACAAACACTAACCTATGTAATGTCATTTCTACGACTGTTCAACAAGGGCCAGGAAGACAAAACAGATTGATTACTTGATTACTTGCTTATCCAGATGATACCTCTATGCATGTACTGACCGCATCTCTGATCTTTCCTCATCATCTTCATTGTCACTGTCAACGATAGGGCGGCTGTCTGAACTTTTATATTTTTAACAGTCCATTTTCCATCTTGGCGTTCTGGGTTTCCAAATTTCCTAATTTCCTCATTTCCCAATTTGTCGTTTCCCCCTTTACAATTTGGAAATCTTTTTTTTTTCTTGTTTCCACCCCATGAAAGCTGGTCTTGATGGGGAGTGGCATCTTATTCCGATTCTGACTACGACAGCAATGAACAATGACTGTATTTGTGACACCTACTCTACCTGTTGAACTTATGATCCATAATCAAGGAAATTATTATATTGATTTATTCACAATTCGAATCTAGTATCCAATTCGATTTGATTCTATTCGCCCCATTCCGGGCACCAGGATTCCATTCACGACGTGAACATGACATGAACGGAAATGCAAATGCACACCCCACCGAGCATAAAGAACTTAAGCATGGTAGTATTCCGTGGGTCTTTCTTTCATCATGAAACTGTCAAAGTTAGTGTTCCCCGTATGGAACCTGCGACATCGGCAATTACGAAATTGGCCAGCCACGGAGTCAAGATGAGATCAGGGCTACGGAGTACTCTACTCTGATACCGTAATGATGGACAGACGGACGGACGGATTCTGAATATCCTGGGCGATGAGGAAGTCAGTGTTCGTATTCTGACTTTGTTGCCGCTGGGACGCGTGGATGCTTGCCGTTACGGAGTACTGTTGATGTTACTGTTGGGATTTAGGTGGTATTACCACCACTGAGCGAGCAAGGGGGAGGGAGGGAGGGAGGATCAGTGGCGATGAGGTAGATACTTCCCATGTTAAATGCTAGGAAGTGAGGGAGGAATTGCAAAGAGAGGCAGTGGCGATGAGGTAGATACCTTTGTTATGTTATAGGGAGGGAGGTGTGGCTGTGGCGATGAGGGAGGCGGTATGAATGTAGACATGGTGTAAAGGACTGAATATCCGGAGGCGCATGTTGGATGCTTGTCCTTGTGTCGTTGGATGTTGTGTCAGTCGAGTCATTGGCTGCGATCCTTCCAGACGTTCTGGAAGGCAGGTGCACTATTGTGCAATGCTTACTTCTTGGATTATGCAGCTGATTTGTGCCACGCAGGTCGGTCGCTCTTCTCAGAGGTCGATTCCATGGCTCGTGATCATTTTGTAAGAGGGTGAGAGATTTCCATGATCGTGGCGTGCTGTATGGAGTACCGACTTGGATGTGCGGGCGCAACGCTGGAACCGCCGCGGAGAAGGTTCGATACGTGGTGGTCGCACATGGTTATGAGTTGGCAGACCAGGGTATCCGAGCTGGGTGGTTCATACCCCGCAATGTACTCCGTAATCGCTGGGGAAGATGGAGAGAGAGTGTGTGTGAATACTAAGTTCCAGTGAGAACCAAAGGCTCGACTTCATCAGTAACTCATTCCTACCGCGTAGCCTGCACGGAGTCCCAATAATAACACCCAATAACACCATCGCCAAAGAGGGGAACTTAGTCTGCTCGTCCATTGAGGGGTTTTGCGCTCGGACTGTGTCTAGTCCGCGTCAATGGCATGTTTGCCATCCCCCTCACCGGCTCCCACTGGCTAGGATGATGTCCGTGCTCCACGAACCCCGGTCCAGTGGACATTACTACTCGGGCTTGTGCGGCGGAGGACTAACACCCGGGCTAATGGGGCCCCTTCGCCGAAGTTGGCATCGGACCATCCGATATCAATCGATGGGTGTGAAAGTGAAGAGCGGGGGAAGACCTGGCTAACGGCTTAGGCTGGTCGTGGGCGCAGCTGTCATGTGTACATCACTTGATGTTTGTAGGGCGCCATGGACATGACAGGGAATGGCCTGGTGCATCATATGCTGTGCTATCGCTCGTTATGGCTTACTTAGACCGTTGCTGATGCGAGGGAGCTTGCCCTATCTAGCATCGATACCTAACATGACGGCCAGATTTCCAATGCACACATGGTATTCCGATCGATCCGTGTTTGACAGCTTCCATGTGTGCCATATTGATGCTAGATTGATTGTACTTGCTCACCTGCTCACCCTGTGATAGGAATGTGTTTGACGCCTCTTGAGAAAAGACTGACAGCCGCGCGCGCCGATGTGAATTGCGTGAACCGTGGGATTTGCACGAGGCACGAGCAGGTCCATCCGGAAACCCCGCAAGACCCCTAGGCCAAGGACCAAGGGACAGCTGGAACGCATGGCACGATTGCACAGCTCGGTCTGCTCTTGTACCCTGGCGATCAACGATCAGGTGGTTAGGAGGTGCACGGCGAAGGAAATCTTGGTCTCTGTAAGACTCTGCTACTGTCTGCTCAACCTCGTGGCTGCAGGTGAGCTGCGGCCATCGGGTATTGATTATGTGACACCCATGCCGAGTATGTTATTGTTCACTCGAAATGACATCTGACAGATTATATTAGTATGCTCAGGAACCAATAGCCGCAGCCTATCGGCCGTCGCACGCAGAAAGTTCCTGCATTGGGATGCACAGCATAGCCGTCCTGAGGCCTTTGATCAGTAAAGGATAGACTGTCCGGATCATAAATGACTTCTTTCGGATACGCAGCACGCAAGCCAGTCAGCTCCACGGAGATCGGTATCCCCGTGGGGTCTCCAACCCAGGCTCTGCGCCAGCCGTCGTGCGGCACAGTATCTCCACTGCTCTCGAGTCGGAGTGCGGAGTTTGGGAGCTTGCGACGCCGCGATGAGTCGAGACCACAGCGGGTATCGGACAGGAAGCGGCCAGTTCGCGTGCAAGGACTCGCCCGTACTCCGTAGACCGGTGAGATAAGAGTTTCTGAATGGGCCCGCGAGTCAATCTGACATCCGTCCTTTGCTTCCCCACCAGCCCTAGGCAGGTAGATACGAGCACAGTATCAGTAAACTTCCCAGACCGCCTCCACTGAGATGCATGTCAAACTTGACCCGAAGTTTAATGGCGTTGAGGATAGTAGGCTGTGCTAGCATCGGGGGGGCAGAAAAGCGGACCGCAAGCGCTGGGGCTCGAACGCGGACTGGGGTGTCGATCAAGGGCACGGAGGTGCTAATCGGCGCCGATTACCCGCTCGGGGGGCTCGACCGTCGGTGGTAGCGCCAGAGGGAGGCAGATGCTAGAGATGTCAGTGCTCCAATTCAGCGACTAGTTTCATGGGGCGTTGATAGCGCCTGGTCGGAGATGAGGAGTACGCACGTCAATTCCCTGTGAACTTTGTAGTGAGTTTCGGATAAGAAAGCCATTGTTTGTTGATGTGATTGCATTGCTGCACTGCGTTGCGTTGCTGCAGGGTGATCCCCCTTTCCCCTCCCCTGGGGCTGGTGGATTTTGATGGTCGCGCGATAGCCATCTGTTAGTCACGCAAGCAGACGAGACTCAACATCAAACAAGCAATGTAGAGAGGTGCAGGATGGCGGGTCCTGCCTGACTGCTCCTTGTCATTGCTCACAGCTCAGAGGGAGGGAAGAGGAAAGGCGAGATCATCTACTAAGAGAAGTGGTGGAGGCTACCTTAGCGTGCCGGTGCAGCTGCGGGCGAATGAGACGAGCGCTATGCGGACCTCACGCGTTCGGAACCACCAGAAGCCCGAGGGATCCATCCACGATCGTTCCCGTCCAGCCAAGGCCGGTGGCTTTCAGATATCGCCCTCAACCACACTCTCAACTCCTGCCTTCATCCAATATCCTCGCTCCGACCGACCAGATCCTCCCGATATGATTTCCGTCATGGTACCATTCATGGGACCCCCAATTAATTGCTATCCGCTGTGGCTTGCAGGTCAGTGGCGAATCCGACACGTAGCCAATTGAAGCCTGCGAAGAAATTGAGTTGAACGATGGGCGAGGAGTGGCCAGGGGGTGCCCCTGCCGTGCGGTGAGTCGAGACATGATAAGACCGGATGGACAGTGAGACAAGCGCCCGTTCCATGGTGGTCGTGCGTAGGGAGACGAGCCCATAGGCCCGTGGTAGGGACTCATTGCGGATGCCTACTACTAGTATCTGTCCATCCAGTGCACCTAGACCGGGGTCACCGCACAAGGTTTCATTTGACGGGGGCGAAAAGAAAAAAGGAGGTCTAGTCATCGATCGATCAGTTAGTACGGAGTACGGAGTAGGCCCACAACTGAACAAGGTACCTGGATCTGGTCACCGAGTGAATTCCCCCAGACGGGAGGGGGAAGAAGAATGGACAATGGCCCGTTACACAGCGCTGCGACAGCCATCTGTGGGAGAAGAATCGGATGAGAAATCGGCATGGCCCCATCTCCAAGGGGGCACGCGTTATCGTCAACTGCTAGCTATCTGGTCTGTTCTCCATGCATGTCCATCGCACCGCAGTTGGAAGGATGCCTGCGTGTGTGCTTTGCGTCCCTCCTTCCCTCCCTCCCTCCCTCCCTCCTAGACCGTACGTATGTTGGTGATTAATGTCAACCGCCCATGCGTTGCGGCAGCCAAGAAATGCGACGTCGACCAGGCCACTAAAACTCCCGACGCCGGAGCCAAGAATCGAGCACAGCACCAACTCCATCCTTTTCTTTTTCGCTCATCAATTTCCTCTGCAGGATAGCGCGACATTCGGTTGGCCAGATCAAGGCAGCGCTGCAGCGAAATTTCCAATTCTTCCGTGGTCTGTGCAGACCTTGAGCGTGACGACTGACATAGCAGCACAAGACTTTGATGAAAGTCGACCGAGTGCTTTCTGGGAAACCATGTTTCTGATGTCATACTCGAGGCTTCCTTGGAAACTGGATGTTGGCCCAACCAGCGCTAAATCCTGACTAACGGACGTCCTGACTGTATCAGACATCAGTCTATCTACTTCCGGAGTGGGTACCGCCCTCTACTAGCCGCTTCGGCCTTAGCCCCCGCGGCCCCCTCGCGAATGAACAAAGACGGCTTCAAACAGGATGTTAGAATACACAGCCTGCTTGTAGAGACTCCTGCAGCTCAGCTTGCAATTTTTCTTTTTTTAATTTCCGTTCTTTCTTTCCATCCGTGTCGCAGCCTTTGACACACACCACCCAAAAGTATATCTGTCCGAGAACGGCGAAAAGCAAAAAAGGGGACAGTCCAGAATCCCGGTCCCTAAAGTTTGAAAGGCGGAGAAGATGATGATCAATCGTCCCTCGTGCAAAGACAACCGGTGTCTCTCAATAATTGAAGGGTACATTAGATGTTGCAGCACAAGGGAGGGTGAACGTGCGCGCACTGGCGAAGCAGAAGGACCAATCTGCACCCACCTCCTAGCGTTGCGCCCTGTGTGGTGGTTGCATCAGTCAATAATCCACCGTCGTCTCAGGCGAGGTTATAATTATACTATGTAATTCTAATTTGAATGACACAAATGATCGTGAGTATCCTCAGACTACTATGTCAGACATCCGTCGCTACGATTAGTTCGGTACCCACGGCTCCCCCAACATTTCCCGCCTCTAGACCGTCACGGCCTCTTGGTTGAAAACCACTTCCGGGCCCGTTGGTTGGGCGGTGGCGACTTTTAGACTGGCGCTAAGGAGGGCCTGGAAGGCTGGAAGCAGCCTGGAGGAAAGAAAGAGAGGAGGAGGGGGGAAGTAGAAACTCTTGGGGGTGGAGACCATGGTTGCCGTACGTAAACTGTACGGTCGGAGGTACCCTTTGCTTGAAGGTCGGGGAACTGCTCTCAGTCAAGGTTCCAAACTCGGTCGGCAGAAGGCTTCAGGACCCAAATTCGCTTATCTGTCGAGATAAGTGTTTCCGTGGAACCGGGCGAGTCAACTAATCATCTTCCTGATAAGCAGCAGATCGCAGTGGGACGAAGGATGGGGAACGACATGAACGACATGAGAATGAAATGGAAATGAAAAAGGAGGTTGTCCTTTGTATGGCGACATCGAGGGAAGGGCCGGGAGGCTGCACGTATGCCTTGATCCTGGGCATTCCGAATGAGCACGTACATCATACTAAAGTAGCACATACAGCGTTACACACATACCGATAAAGACAAGGTGGACTAGAATACTCCGGACATGCAGCCTTGAAGATCACCTGCCCTCCACCTTAGCCACATGTATGTATCTCCTCTGGAGCGATGTACTTAGTTTTAGCATCATCCACTCTATCCTATGTATGTCGTTCGCCCCATCCAGGGTCGCGCGCATCATTTGAGCCATTGATGGCTCCCCTGAGGTGCAACAGCTGAAGCTAAATGGCCGGCGGAGGAGATAGGAACAGTGTCAGATCAGCGACCAATGGTGCCATCCGGGCCCAAGGTACGGGAGGGCAAGAATGCGATCGGGAGGCGAAAAAGCCGGCCAGGGTTTCAATCATACAACCCTCCATGATGGAACCTGCTACGACTCCAGCCTACAGGACCGAGATAGCCCTCCAAAGACCCACCGGGCCGGAACGCACTGACTGGTCGGCGAGGGATCGTCCCCAGTCCCAGACCGTTCGATCGCCTATTTTAAGTTGGCTAGCAGCGTCCCAGCACCCGTATTTACCGCTAATACCACCTCCGCCGCCGCCATCATCATCCTCTCATGGCCCCGTCTTGTTCCGGGTACGGCGGCAAGAGTAAGAGTAAGAGTAAGAGTAAGAGCAAGAGCAAGTAGCACTAGTCATGGTTCTTACTCGGAGCTTCGTATAGCCATCCGGCTCTAGTGTCAAGAGCTATCTGCTCCAACGGTCGTCATCACGAAACATTGTCCGTCATGACAGGAGGGGAACCTCCCCTTCTCTCCCCGGTGAAAGTTGAAAGTGAACAAGGTGAAGGGGAACAGACCTCTTCTGCCCACCCTCCGACCACTAAAATGGGTATAACCATCCTTCAGGGGAAAGAAGCGACGAATACCGTTGACCGGAGAGGGGAAATCCGACGAGTCGGCTGGGATTTGCCCCTCCCTGGCAAAGAGGTGACCACCACTGAACCACCGCGTCCCGAATTTTCCTTGCCTGCGATCCTCTCAGGTTGACGTCCGAGCTCCCTTATCAATATCATTCCTGGGACCATTCTTTTTTCGTTCCATGCTTATTTCCGTTTTGATTATTATTTTTTTTCTTTTATTTTTAATTTTGTCCTTATTTTTTCCATTTATTTTCCCTTTCCTACCGTCAAGTGCGGCTCACCCTAATATTTTCTCCACCCGGTCACTCTTCTCATATACTCCATTGCCCATCCATCCTCACCCGTTTCCTTCGGATTCACTTCTTTGTATCTACTTCCTCCTCCTTCACTGCCCTCGGATTGATTCCCTGCTCGGCTGCTCATCCTTCCGCCAGCTGCACATTGTTCTGCTCTTTCTTTTCTTGATGTTTTAATCCCTTTCACGTTCTGTTTCAACTAGATGTCGAGCCCACAAGGTAGGTCCTTTGGACTTTCTAACCCCCCTCTGCTTTGGTCGCATTTCGATTCGCCTTCCGGTTGCCTCCGTCGCTGGAGGGAATAAGAAGCCCTTCTAGCGGTGATTTGTGTCTGGGATTCTTGTCGCTCTCGTCTGTGCCACTGCCCAGGGTTTGTCTGGTAACACCGTGTTGGCTGTATCCGCCCTCCGACCCCGGCTTTGCCTCCAACGCTCCTTCTGATAGCTTGGGACATTCTGACATCAAAGTCACACCACTTTCCTCCACCTGGCGTGATCTTCTTTACTTCTTCTTGCCTACGCCTCCCCCTTCCTGTGATGATCGCTCATGTACGAGGCAACCCTGCAGTCAATTGCATTCGCCACTGTTTTATATTGCTGCCGTATACCTCCGTGCGTGGCTAACGTGGGGAACCAGAATATACCAACAGACGCCGTTTGTCAGGATCAGGAGCCTCCTGCTCATAATCTTCTTCCCTGAAACGAGCTACACTTCTGTGGAACTCCCATTCTACATATCCTGTCCACTCTTGTGTCCGCTTACACAAGCAAGCCCGGCCGGATGCCATACACTGCGCCGTTGAAGACGTCGCCTTCCGCGCAAGACATTGAACGCCCCGAACTCACCCCACAATCCTGCCCCAGCTCTCCTACCGCTGTCGTGCCTCATAATCCACGACAACACCTACCTCGTTCTTACTCTTCAACCTCCTATGTACGAAGGCACCGGAGGAGCCCGTCCAATAGCAAGGTGTTTGTCTTCCCAGGCCCGGACGGTCCTTCCAAGGTGGATCATGACATCGACCCCCATGCCAGTATTCGGAAGTCGCCACCTCCCCTAAGTGATGCTGTTATCCCTCCTGGGGCTCTCATTTCCCCTCCCGAGTCAGCGCCGAACTCTAGTGATGACGAGTTGCCATACTCACCCCAGGACGGGCTCCAGCTGGAGAAACTGGAGGCAGCTGTGAGGTCCATTGAGCAGAGGCGAGTATCCTCCCCGGAGAGAAAGTCACCGGAGCTCCAGCCGTCGTCGAGCATGACGGCCATGGCTGGTGGCCCGGTTCAACCTCCACGATTGCCCCTCTCCCGAGAAGCTCGCAAGATATCTCACTCTCGATCGGCCACAGAGACCTCAATTGACCGCAAACAAGATGAGGCCTTGACCAGCTCGCCGGAAGAGAGTGATCGAGATGACGAGCCCCTGGTACGACATCCCATGGTACGCAAGAAGTCAGGGGAGCTTGTGAGACCGGCTCTTCGTCCCCCATCGGCTCGACGCCGTCCATCGAGCATGCCTGGGACTCCGACTTACTCCAAGGCGGTTCATTTTGATGCTCAGCTGGAACATATTCGTCATTTCCTACAGCTCGACAAACCTCAAGCCGTGAGTGCAGACACATCACCTGTCGAGGATTATGGTGCAGCCGAGGAGTTCCCGTTCCGGAGGGGTCATCGGGACGAACCTTCTTTTGAATGGGAGCTTCGTCTGTCGAACTTCCCCAAAGACATCGCCGCTCGAGCTAAGCAGCGTGTCCGACTGGAGCGCTTGTACCTGTCTACTGATAAGAATACCATGATTGGGGTTGTCGGAGTCGCAAATCTGGCCTTCCACAAGCATGTTGCGGCCCGGTTTACCCTCGATCACTGGAAGACTGTTTCTGAGGTCTCGGCAGAGTACAATGACGATGCCCGCCGGAAGCATGCCCAAGATGCTTATGACCGGTTTACCTTTAATATCAGACTCGATGATCAGACAAACTTGGAAAAGAAAACCATGTTTGTCTGCATCCGCTACAACGTGGCTGGAGAGGAGTTCTGGGACAACAACAACTCACAGAACTATCAAATCAACTTCCACAAGATTTCAAAAGGGAAGCCGGAGGCCCGGTCCCCATCCTCGCCGCAGCCTCGTCCTGCCCTGCCTCGGAGCCGAAGCTTTGCTGGTTCTAACAGCCGTCCGCACTCGATGCCTCCTTCCTTCGATGCCTTGGCTGAAATGGACAAGTATATTTCGTTTGGCAGTCCCCCAGCGGGTGGCAAGGAGAAGCCCCTGGCTGGTGATGATGATGATCCGCATGACGTTGAGACAGTTGCTCCGATCCGCCGCGATAAGCAAAACCACCAGGCCTTTGGCAATCGCTACGATTTCGAAGCCTCGTTGTCTGCCGCCATGCGAACCAAACCCACTCATGATCGCACTACGCTGACAGCTCGAGCCAAGTCTAAAGCTCCGTCCCATGGGGGTCCCGTCCAGGCGCCGGAAAAGAAGATGATTCCACGGGAGGAGAACGCGCCTTTGAGCAAAAATAACCCACCAACAGGTCCTTCGGACCAGCACAAGCCCTCTACTCTTATCTCTGGCAAGCCACATCGCGAGTCCTCCATATACAAAGAGTTGGTTGACAAATACTGTTTCTTCGGGTCTGGACCAAATTTCCCAGACGATGCTGATGGTCCTGCCACAGCATGTAGAGACTACGAACGCCGCTCGAGTTCCAGTAGCAGTTCCAGTTCAGTCTCACCATGTTCATCGCCTCGCATGGCGGCCGCCCCGTCCTCCCCGAACCACACCGGATATTCTTACCTACAACCCCTACAGAATAGTTTCCTGAAGGGAACGAAGACTCCGACGATCATCCAAGGATGAGCGAAGCTGCTTATACGCTTTAGACTGAAGTCTTACGATTCTCCACGCGGACGCGTTTTACATATTTACATAGCTTTGTGTTATTCATGGCCCGGAATTGCCATTTTCCTTTACCCTCGGGGACCAGCCTTCTTTCAACGATGTTGATCATGACGTGAAATCTCGGCATCGTGGTGCAGAAATTTGATCCGACATGCTCATTAGGCGTTGCTCCTCAGCCGCCTCTACCATCGTTATCTTTACCTTGTTGATGTGCTTGCTTGAGCATAGATGGCGGATCCTTTGCGATGTATAATAAACCGCGGGGTCTTTTGTCGTGCTGGGCTGTACGTCGCTTTTTGTCCAAAAACATCAGGGAGGCTGTTTTTCCGTTGGGTGCGGCTATGATTGTGCTACAATAACGATTACGATTTTACGTCTTTTTCTGTCCTTCCCGAGTTGCGTTCTATATGATGGTATGCACTAGCGTGGTAGGTTAATCCTGAGCAGCATTTCACGGGGATCGGGGGGAGGCGAGCATTCTCGACTGGAAAAGTATTCGCATGGAAGTGGCCTAATGCATTTGCAATTTGTTGTTCATTGTCTATCTGCTAAGGATGCAGCTCTGTACGGTGCCCGGAGCATGTATTGTCTCTTACCATTGTTTTCTTGTACTTGGTTTTACATTCTGCACGTGGGTTAAACGGTGTCTATGCGCTGGGGTGGCGATGCTGGGTTTCCTGTACTTATGAGAGTTGGCGACTAGCGGGTAGGACCTGATGAGGGTATACTTACCTGATTTATGCAATCGCACGGATTAGAATGCAGTGCTTTTGTGAATACGTGCTGTGAATCCTGCATGATCCATCATCGTCTGTAGTGGTGTGGGAAGTGACAGCCGGGCCTGGCTCACGTGACTACCCGCAGCCTTGGGGCCTGAGCCGCGCAGCAGGACCGGAGGGCGCGGGCGGCGGGACGAGGGCCAACCCGCAACGCCCGAAATCACCACCTCGAAAGCGGTCGTTCATAACGCCCTTTTTGACGGCCGCGTCCCGCCAATCAGGGCTCCCCATTGCTTTTGACCCTTCCAGATCACCCTCTGAGGCTTAGTCATTCACTCCAAGGGGCAAGAAGCAAGATCACGCTCTCGCTTGCCGCCCTCCGCGAAACCTATATAAACCGCTGACTGCTCGTCCGTCCGCCACCTTTCTTTGCTTTCTCTCGACCTCTCGACTCAGCGACCGGCCCGAACGCGTTACGCCCACCACACTTCATCCACCACCAATCTTCCTTTCATCTTACTTAATCCTCTTATCTCTCTCACAATATGACTGGACGTGAGTATCTTCTGCTTTGATTTTCCTTGATGCAGTATCTCGTCATCGTTGTGGTGGGAATGAAATGAGGATGGGGATCTTGATGATGCACCCCTGATGACACGTGATCGCGTACCTGTCACCACGCGTCGTGTCGCGGGCTCATCCATCCATCCATCCATCCCATCCCATCTCATCCCACCTACACTCCGTTATACTATCTGCTCTCAACCTAGGCATCCCTTTCTTCCCTATGCTAACCCACTCATCTTACAGGCGGCAAAGGAGGCAAAGGTCTTGGCAAGGGTGGCGCCAAGCGTCACCGCAAGATCTTGCGTGACAACATCCAGGGTATCACCAAGCCTGCTATCCGCCGTCTCGCTCGTCGTGGTGGTGTCAAGCGTATCTCTGCCATGATCTACGAAGAGACCCGTGGTGTCCTCAAGTCTTTCCTCGAATCCGTCATCCGTGATGCCGTCACCTACACCGAGCACGCCAAGCGCAAGACCGTCACCTCCCTGGACGTTGTCTACGCCCTTAAGCGCCAAGGCCGCACCCTGTACGGTTTCGGTGGTTAAGCAATCTCTCTCCGCGCCACTGATCGGATCCTGCACTGCTGTTGTCGCTGGTCGTCACCGTAATCGACTTCGACATTGGATGGACAGGTTCTGTCTGATACTTGCTTTTGATTTGGTTTCACTTTGAGGGTTTCACGCTACGGTATGGGGTTTCGGATGGCTGGGTTCTTTTTCTCTTTGCGTTTTAGGATGATGACATCCGTGGGTTTGATACTCTTGCTCGTTATGGGATGGGATGGATAATTTCACATTATTGTACCTAGACGGCCTGTGGGCCTGATGGACCAAAATAAAGATCATACTTGCAAAATATACCCGACTGAACACCGGATATACTACGTAGTCACCGTCCAAACCACACAACACTATCAACTCCCATCAAGACACTGCTCCATACAAAAACCTACATTCCCCACACAGCACCAGAATCTGACAGACAATCCAACCCTTAACAATGCACAGTGGAATGCATACATCGCATGGAATGATGAATCACATGCCCCGCACAGGCCACCCACCCACCATCCATCCCTCTCATGACGTAAGGGCCTGGACCAAATAACCTCGGTCAACCACAACCACAGGCATCAGCACACCACCAGCAGCACACATCATAGGCAGCTAGCCGGGTCTGTCACTGCCCAGGAATACTTATACTTACTATACTCGAGCTCATCTCCTTGAATCCATCTCATTGGGTTGTCGGATGTATGATGGTGGCCTGATACATGGGTCCATCCGGATATAGTATGCAGGCTGCTTGTATCATGATCATGATCATCACTCCCAGCCTGGGTATTTGAATCGATTTCTTTGATTATTGTCAGTGCAGTGGTGGTTGCACATTACTCCTATCTATTAATTATCGCCTCGCTGAGATTGTGCATGAGTTTCGTGGGAACAAAGAGTGATTAACCATGCCGGAATCGGAGTCGGAATATAAGGTGTCGTATGAGTCGGAGTTGGTATGCTACGCTACGATGTCATTCTTTCATTCCTCTCTTGACTTGACAATGAGGTTGGATGTGCTAATGGATGGTATATGGCCTAGGATACCTACCAACTCTACCACCGCTATGAAGAACAACCATCCAAGCCTCCCTCGGCGGTATTAAGTGGTCCGGCTCTCCCGGCGTTGGGAAATGCCCTGGCTGGTGCGGTCGGGGCCGCGTTATCGAATGTGGCTACGTATCCGTTGAGTTTGATCGTTGCGCGGTTGCAAACCCAGAATCTGAATCGGCGGGCTAAGGGGAAGTCGGGTGATACGAGAGGTGATGAGGAAGGGGATACGGGAGAGGGAGAATATACGGGTGTGATCGATGCAGCGCGCAAGATCTACATCCAGGAAGGGATCGGGAGCTTTTATACCGGCCTTGCGCAGGATACTGTCAAGTCGGTGGCAGATTCGTTTCTGTTCTTCTTGGCGTATGAGTACTTTCGACAGCGGAGGATCAAGGCTCGGTTCGGGAGTGCGGGGAGGAGGAGAAAGCATGTCGTTTTGCCGGTGCTGGATGAGTTGGTGGTTGGGGTGTTGGCGGGGGCGTTTGCAAAGTTGTTTACCACGCCGTTGGCGAATATTGTGGCGAGGAAGCAGACGCAGGCGCGGACGGGGACCGGGAAGGGTTCTGCTAGTACGAGGGAGATTGCGGCGAGGATTAGGGCTGAGAAAGGGCTGAGGGGGTTTTGGTCAGGGTACTCGGCTTCATTGATTTTGACGCTGAATCCGTCGATTACGTTCTTCTTGAACGCCGTGTTGAAGTATGCGGTGTTGCCGAGGAATCAGCGACAGAGGCCGTCTGTAATGGCGACGTTCTTGTTGGCTGCGGTTAGCAAGTCGGTGGCGTCGTCGGTGACATATCCGATTTCGATGGCGAAGACGAGAGCGCAAGTTGCTGGGAGTCAGACTTCAACGGCGAATGGGGAGAAGAAGCAGGAGGATGAGGGGATTTCGTTGACACCGGCGATTATAAGCCATGTGGTGGCGATTGCGCGCACCGAGGGCGTTGGTGCGCTTTATGCTGGGCTGCCGGGCGAGGTTCTCAAAGGGTTCTTCTCCCATGGCTTCACGATCTTGGCCAAGGACGCGGTGTATTCGGCGATCGTGCAGAGCTATTATCTCCTGCTGGTGGCGCTTCGAAGATACCCGACGCCGGAGGAGCTGCTTCGGCGCGCCCGCGAACAAGCAGAGGAGTATGCAGACGCTGCCCGCGAGGGTGCTCGTGATCTAGCGGAGAGAACCCGGAGCGGCACCGAGGAGATTCTGAGTCACCAGGCTGGCGGTGTGACGGTGGATATGACTTCAAGTGATACTAGTTCGGGCGCAGCAGACCTGGCGGGGTCGAATGAGACAGCGGAGATGGTGGGAGATTATGTCGAGGATGAGGGAAATGCGAAGGATTTATATCATTGGTTCTGGGAGAAGGAGAAGTATGGCAAGGATTGAGGGTCAGGCAGTTGCCGGGAAGTGTTTCTGTCTGTGTCTGTGTAGTTATAGCGAGTGAGTGCCTGTCTTTCACTGTAGGAAATGAAGATGACGATGAGTGGATCCGAGCCGCGATCGACCCGTGGGACGCCCGCCCGATTGATTCGTTCTCCAACCACCGCCTGTTTACGCCTTCTACTTCTACTTCTTCGCTGCCTCTTGTGCTTCAGCTCGTCTCTCCATCCCAGCCAGCGTCCTCATGTCGACCGAACCCCATCCAAGTCCCGGTCTCGGGGACCTGGAAAAGGAACTCACCTGCTCGGTAAGTGACCAAAATCCAAAGTGAGGCTTAAGTGTGGGGGATTGGCGGAATGCGGTCTGCGTCTCCCCGCCAGATTCTCACCGTCCCTTACTGGATCGACTAGTCCAATCTTCGTGGATTCTCGAATCTCCAGCACACTGGATGGAGAATGCACTAGTCGCATGAACCTTTCCTGCGTGGAATGGATGCATACTAACGCTCCCCAGATCTGCACAGACCTGCTTTACCAACCGCTTACCCTCCTCGACTGTCTTCACACCTTCTGCGGCTCCTGTCTGAAAGAATGGTTCTCTGCACAAGCCTCTCGCTCCCGATCGTCTGTCCGCTTCACCTGTCCCTCCTGTCGAGCGGTCGTCCGCGAAACCCGCCCCAATGCTACCGTCACCACATTGCTAGATATGGTTCTAGCGGCCAGTCCCGACCGAGATAGATCGGCGGAGGAAAAGGAGGAGATCGCGCAAAGATACAAGCATGGTGATTCGGTGTTTCCTACACTGCCGTCGTCGGAACGGAGCGCTGCGGCGTCGGATGAGGAAGATCGGCGGTTGCTGGAAGAGGTTCGGGAACTCAGTTTGCAGGACAGTCGGGCCCGGACGAGAGCTACCGGTCATCGGTCCAGGCAGTCATCTCGGGCTCGTCACACTGACGGGGCAGATACCGATGGGTCACGACGACGGCGAGACGAGGAACGTGCGGCCCGGCGCAGACCAGCGGATAATGCTTCTGAGCGCACCAGACGCATAGAGCACCAGTCTAGTCTACGGTCGTTGTTGAGTTTGTCAGATACGGAGGCTATACAAGAGGAAATTCTGCGGCAAATTCTCGAGGAAGGGCTGTTGGATGATATTGATATGGAAAACCTGGGTCCGGCGCAGGAGGAAGAGCTTAGTGAACGCATCGCTGATGCTTATCGGCGGAGGCATAGGTTGCGGGCACGTTCGCAGCAGCGGTCGGAGAGAGATGAGACCCGACAGGCTTCATCGCGGACTCGTGCTCGGTCGCAGTCAGTGCAGAGACCTCAGGAGAGTTCTACACAAAACGACTCGGGCCGAAATCCTCCTGTGTCGAGACCATATCTGCTTGATCCGCTGGTGTCGCGCAACGGGGCACCCGGTCATCAGAGGCGATTGTCGGACCAGGGTAGCAGCCAACGGCGAACGTCACCTGTACCTGCAAACCCGGCGTCTTCGTCAGAGATCTCATTGAGACCTGCAGCCCGGTCGTCCAGTGATGTGGTCGCTGAGCGTCCTCGAAACTCGCAAGCTGCACGGGTCAGGAACGATTCGTCTGCGCCACGGTCCCGACGCGCTACAGCATCTGAGCAGAATGTTCCGAACATCTGGGTGGAGGGCACTAGGGAGCGTGCAATTCGACGCCCAGGAAGATTATCGATCGATTCTCCGCGAGTGGTGGCATCGCCCGAGCAGAGTACACGCACTGGTTCCTGGCCAGCAAGTTCTGGGGTGACTGCACCTGCAATCAGTTCTCTGGTAGCCGAGGTCGGCCCAGGCAGATCAGAGGCACGCTCCCGACCATCTTCGTCTCGATCCAATGCACCTCGATCGACCACTTACAAGGAACCATCCATATCATGCGACCGATGTGGGAAGGCCAACATTCAATACGATGTACACAAGAAATGCCGAACATGCAATGGCGGCGAATATCACCTCTGCGCTAGATGCTATCACCTCGGTCGCGGGTGTTTGAACTGGACAGGCTTCGGAGCATCCGCAGAAGCGAGCTTTGAACGAATCCTCGCTTCCTCAAGCGGCCATCCCCAGCCGTCTAGTTCACAACAACACATCCTCTTGTCCTGCCAGTACCGCCGTGCCCCAGACTCGGCTTACCGCTCTGATCGAGACGGACGAGTCCTCACCACCGACGACCCTACCAACAGATTGATCACCGGTTTCTTCTGCGACAGCTGCCAGTCCCCGGCAAATGACTGCTACTGGAAGTGCCATCAATGCAACGAAGGCGATTGGGGGTTCTGCAACCGCTGCGTTAATCAAGGCCGGTGCTGCACGCACGCCCTTCTTCCCATCTGCCGCATGGTGCGCAGCCCGCACTCCTCTCCATCTCCAACCTCCACCGACAACAATTCTCCCTCCCGCTCCCCGGAAACTTACAAAATCCTCTCCATCGCTACGAACTGTGACATCTGTGCCCATCCGATCCCAGACTCTACCCCTCGCTTCCACTGTCTCCAATGCAATGATGGTGACTACGATATTTGCACCAACTGCTACTTCCGTCTCGTGGCGATTGGCAAGATTCGCAAAGAAAACGGCCACAACGGCTGGCGCCGCTGCCTCAAGGGTCACCGCATGACCGTCGTTGGATTCGAAGAACATGAAGAGGGCCAACGACGAGTCGTCGTCCGCGATCTTGTTGGTGGCCGCGCCCTCAACGACGACCACCTGCAGCCCTCCCCCGCAGCCACCCCAGTCACCGCGCACTTTTCTTCGAACCACAACATCGCCTCTCCTGAAGTCGGATCCGGCGACTGGAGCTGGAAAGAGGGCTCTGAGCGACGGAAAAAGGCCTCGCGGATGCGACCCTGGACGATGAACGACCGTGACCGGGCTTCCGAACCAAGCACACCCATTGCCAGCCCTTCACCCTTTTCTCTATCCACCCCGGCACTGTCATCACAAAATCCATCGTCTACCACCCGTCGATATCCACCCGACGGCGGCGTCGGACTAATTGTCCACGCCCTATGGTCCTGGTACCCCGAAGACGGAGTCCAAGACGAACTGATGTTCCCGCGCGGCGCAGAGATCACCGAGGCCGAAAACATCAACGACGATTGGTACTGGGGCTGCTACGCCGGACTGACGGGGCTGTTCCCGGGCGCGCATGTATATGTAGCCGGCGAGGTGGCCTAGCCAGCCTGGACTGGATCTGATGTTGATTTTGTGTTGATTTCCACTGTTTGTTGATGACTGACTATTGATGATGAAGGTTCATGACGTGCATGATTTATGTAGCATATGTGGCAATATGATGATGAATGAATGAAGGAATGAGCTATGCATGTTTCACGTATTTTATGTTGATTCCTTTTCTGTTCGCCGTTTCTGTTCTCTGTTCTCTGTTCCTTTTGTTAGTACTCCCACGGTTCGTTACCCTCCCTATCATCCGTTATTCTTCTTCCAAGACAACGCCCCATGTCTTTCAATTCATACCATATCAGATCATACCATACCATACACGAATACTACATGAGCCACCAGGACCGTAACTACCAGCCTAAGATGTAGATAAGATAGGAAAGTTGTCAAAGAATCTGATTAATCCTCGAGTAGTTACTGTGACTGACTAACAACCTAATTCGTAGCAAACGAAAGACAACTAGTCTGCATTAAGAATAGAGCACACTCCCAAGATAGAGATACTAAAGGTAGAAAGCAAACTAACCGCCATCCTAATCTATCGTGCGTGGCCCATGTTGTACATTCCGTGCACCGTACACCGTTACCGTTAGCGTATCCAGTCGTAAGTCGTGGTCGTTCCCTTCATGAAGCGTAGCGAATAAAGACGATAAGGAATTGATGACGAGAAGAAGAGAGGGGTCGGACTACTGCAACAAAGCCACCATGAGTCGCTGATAATCCCCACTCGTCTCGCCCTTCACCCTCTCGATGAGATCCTTCTGGTAGCGATGACGATACGCCCGTTTCACCTGGTCCATGTGGTTCGGGTTCCAATGGAGACGGACGACTCGGGTGGTGAGTTTCTCGTCCTTGGTGCCCATGCCTTTCATGCATTCTTCGAGTTGTTCGGCGTCGTACATGGCGGGGTCGAGGGCGACGCCGAGCATGTGGAGGAGGGCGTCTTTCATGTGGCCCGAGAATTCCTTTTCGATGTGTTTGGTGAGGTGGATGTTGTATCGGTGTTGGAAGGCTTGGTTGATGGCGCGGAGTTCGTGGTCGGAGGCCCGGGCGAAGATGCCGCAGACTTCTTCGACGTTGTTGACGATGCGGGCGGCGGTGGCGCTGTGGAGGGATTTGGCTTCCGCTTCGATGAGTTGGGGGTCTAGGGGGGCGGATTCTTCGTGGCGGGTGGCGCGGAGGATCATGGAGAAGAGGCTCATGGTTTTGAAGGAGAGGTCGTCTTCGACGTCTTTGGGGAGGGAGCGTTTGTAGGTTTGTTGGTAGGTGGTTTTGATGATGTCGAGATCGGCGTTGGAGCGGGAGAGGAGGATGTCGTTGAGGAGCCATTCCTTGGTGCCGATGCCGTCGACGGCCTCGCGGACGCAGGCCACGTCGTATTGTAAGGGGCCGTCGATGATGGCGAGGAGGCCTCGACGGAAGTAGCCGCTGGTTTCGGATTTGACGTCCTTGTAGAGGTCGCGGCGGATGTGGTGGGTGTAGGTGGATCGCACGGCGGCCATCTCGAGGGGGCTCAGTTTGGCAAGGACCTGGATGAGGGCTTTCTCGTCTGTCCCGAACCCTTTCATTGCGCGACGGAGCTGGTCGGCTTGGGGTCGGAAGTCCCCGTTGGCTTGTTGGCCCCGGACGTAGCCCATGGAGGGCACGGATGCGGGCGGGGGGGCCTGGAATTGGGGCTGCGGGGGAAATGGAGGAGCAGGTGTGCCAAAGGAGTCTGGGGAATAAGGGAAGCCTTGTGGGGGGCCATGAGGGGAGGTTGGGGGAGGCGGTCCTTGCGGATAGCCTTGTGGAGGCCTTTGGTAGAACCCTTGTTGTGCGGGAGGGGTGCCTTGCGGGGGGTACGGGGGCTGATGTTGATTCGGAGCGCCATAGGGAGGATATCCGGGCTGGTTTGGAGGATTGTGAGAGGGCATGTAGTGTTGCTGTGGGTAAGGAAGGGGTTGTGGATTGGGCTGTTGATTGTAGCCCTGCGGGGGGCCCTGGGGCGGAGGATATGGAGGACCTGAAGCCGTTGGCAGTCAGCATGATGCAGGAATGCGGAGACATAGCGGGGCATTGCATACGGTTCTGATAGTGATACATGGTGTCTTAGAGCCACTGGGGTATCTTCTCCTAAGGATGGGGAAAGAATTGACCTAGGAGGAGGAGAGAGGGTATTTATTCCGCGCCGAGGCGGAGCGAAGAGTCATGATGAGCACCGCCGCCGACGGGATCCTCATGGATCGTCCAGGGCCCGTTTCCGGAACGGGTGTAGTACATCACGTGATGCTTGGTGAAGAAGGGCTTCGTCCGATGCAATGATTATGCAGTTTGCCCCACGGTTATGCACTGGATAGGTCCAGTGGGTAAGACCTGTCACTCGGAGTTTTGAGGTCTTGGTATCCCCGGTTCACAAGGTTCTTTCCTCTTCATCCTCTTATAAGCCCTTGGATCATAAGAGTGCTTGCGTAGGAGACATGGAACCTTGTCTTCAGAGTAATCTTCGTCAAAAAGATGATGCAACGCTACGATCACCAGGCAATCATGTTTCCTGATCGAGCCCGATGAGCCACGCTCCACCCCCGGTTCGCAGGCACGTGCCGTGGCGCAGGACAAGGCTGAAGCCAGTGGGTCCGGCATGTGGACTCATGGCTGACGTCACTGGTCTGCCCTGCACTAGCTCGCTGTAACTACACTGCATGGGTGCAGACTCACTGCATGCACACCACCTGTCAGTCTCCTACGACTTCAGATGTTTGCCGTCCAATAGCAGAAAGGCCGTCGTTGAAATATCATACTCCTCCAAGAGCTGCCATCGGTAGCCGTACATGATCAGACTCCTTGTCATGACCAGGAGCGCTGCTATATTCACTCAGCGCCCACCGGAACAGTCCGTTCTCCATCAACGCCTGCTGATGGCTTGGGTTGATGCTAAGTTGCATGTCCCAATCCCCTCCTCCCGGTGCCGCAGGCAGTAGAAGGCAGAAGTCATCGAGCAATGCGAAATACAATCGGAAATCGGTGATCTTCCCCAAGCTTGGCCCAAAGTCTAGGTCATAGACCTTCAAGTGTCTGATGCTGGAATAGGAGACATCCCCTCCCTTGATGTTCATCTGACTCCAGTCGCGTTGCTGTTGCATGTAGGCGAGCAGGCTGCGGACGTACTGGTCATCGACACCCAATAATTTCTGGCGCATGTTCGCAGCGAGGTTGGTGATTCGCACTAGCTCGTCTTTATCAATGCCGAGATCTCTCGCGGCGATGCTCGCTTTCTGCTCGTCTACTAGATTGACCATCGAAGACTGAGCCACAAGCACCATGGTGAGCAGAACCCCAATGTAGTGGTCGGGCCATGGGGGATCCATCCGTGAACGGACATTCGCGACAAATGCGACGGTAAAGTCCTCATCGTCCCTCAGTTTGGCGCCCTGACTCTGCCGTAGGCAGATGGTGAGTAGGGCAGTGAGCACATCGTTACAGGATAGAAAATGCGGGGACTCTTTGCTCGACGCGTCGTCTGTCTGTGATAAGATGGAAGTACAGACGTCTTTCAACATCTTGGCCTTTTGGCTGGTAAACTTGAATCGAAAAGTGTTCAAGACGGATGCCATCGAGGTAATAGCCGTAGGCCACGTATCCGGTGCTAGACAATGGAAGGTCCCCTCCTTGCTGTAAGTTTCCGAAAAGTTTTTCAGCGGCTGCTTTCCAGCAATACTGGGCGAGGATAATTGACAGCGTAGTTGCAATTCAAGCCGATGGAGAGACAGTGGGTCATAATCATTCCGACAGCATCGAGACAGGATCTCGAGAACTTCTCCGATGCCCGTGCCATCTGCGGCCATGTGGTTGAAACTGAGCCCAAGAATAACCCCGTCAATCATGACATTTGCCACAAATCGGATGATGGGCTGGCTTTCTTTGGGGTTCATCACTGTCGGCAATGGGGCATATCGTTTGGAGAACTGTAGATCCTCGACTGCGGTACATGATGCAGTGTCCGTCATCACACGAACGGACTCGTTCAGGTGATACCTGATCCGAAGCATAGGTATGAACTGTGAGGCAGCCGACGGAGGTTGGATACAGTGGACATTGTCATGATTCTCATCGGAGCAAGGTGCCACGTCTTTTGCCAGAAATGGGATACGGCTGACCAAAGTGGTGAGACCTTTCTGGATAGACTCAACGCCTGCCTGTGGATTGTCTAAGAAGAAGGAGAGATAAAACGTGAAATACACCTTGGGGACAGTGTGGTCCACTGGTGAGAGGATCTGGGATGTTGAGTCAGGGAACGTCATCTTGCAGGCACCTTATCTGATGTCTTGAGTCAATGGAAGGATTAGCTTGCTTCAGGCTGGATCGGTGCGCCTCTGAATAAATAGTTTCTGAATCAGGGGGATACTGTCAATGGTGGACATACTCAGGTCCAAGCCACCCCATGACACAATCGAAATGTTGTGATCAGAACCAATCATCTCTCATTTGGGCCCAATGCACTGACTACCACGGATGTTCCCGATCGCCGTCTGTAAATCTCTCATCAGTCTCAGATGTTCACATAGGTAGCAAATATCCATCAAGAGACCTTTCCGACGTTCCTTGGCATTGGGAGACCATACATTCAGCATGCCGAGAGCAATTACCTACTTAGGGTTTCGTTGGGTGCGTCTGCTACCTAGTTCTGATCACACGTCGAAAGCAGCTTACTGCTGAATAATATGCCTTCTCCTCATCATCGATCCTTGGAGCTTGGATCTACCCTCTAAATCAGGTCCGCCCGACGAGGGAGGGTTGAGTCTCTCAATCCTGATTCTGTGGGCAGGATCCATGGAACACTCAGTTTCTGTCTCGAGAACCATGATGACCCTATGTGATGTTGGGATAGCACTAATAAACCGGTTCTAGTCATAGACATACCACATGTCAGTACCACAGAGAGGAATGCTTTAACTTGAGCAGGTCAAACGAGGACAGTTTTTCCCATACAAGATTAGTTGAAGAAGCTTGGTACTTGTAGCTGTACTTATGGTTCTAATCCTGAACCAAAGCACCCTGCGTACTCTGGCCGCAGAGCTCGCCAGTTTATTACTAGATTCTGGTTGTCCCAGCTTGGAGAATGTCAGGATGCTCATATAGATCTTTTGTAAGCCACCCCCTGGGGTGATAACCGGTTCCATGGGCTAATTCGTATGCGTGGCTTGATTATCCAGGGAATATCCGCTTACTGCTGCACATATCAGCTGACACGAGTTTTTATCCGGACGCCACTCGATGTCGTCCTTCAGTCCGAACCTTAAGCTCAGCCATGCACATGGAAACGGATAGGTCTCGAAGTTGTGGCTACCAATCATATGTATGCGCATTTTAGATACGATAGCACCGCGTCGTCGGGCTTTTCAACCCAGGTCTCTGTATGTGTTAGCTGGGTTGTTAAAAAAACTCATCAGACCGCTACCACATAGTATGCATCTCACATCCAGACTTACTAGGTCACCTAGTGAGACATGATCAATGTAGAACCCGCCGGGTGCGGGGTTTGACGTCAAACCGTTATTCATGGCGATCAGCAGACGGAGTGACCGAAAGCCAAAGAATAAGGTGCTCATCGTGACATAATGCTATGTAGGGTTGGTAAGCTTTTGCCAGCAGGCTAAACTGGATCGTTGAGCTGTTCAATGGTGGACAGTTTGGTTAAACATCCGGAACTAGAATAGTTTCGTGACTGAATGGAACTGGTCAGTGCAATCCGGTTGAGCCACTGTGTGTATACTCCGAAATTGTGAAGAGTTGTAGGAAACCTACACTGAGAGATCAAGTCGACATGCATGTGAGAAAGCTTGGGAGTCGGCGGGAGGAATGGATTCCTGTGCACAAAAGACAGTCAGCTTTATCCGTGGGTATCTCTATTGGATGTAGTAGGTCTTCAATCCAAGTTTGACCATGACTAGACGAAAAGAATATACCTTGTGTTGCCTCGGCCCAAGACAACTCCATGATCTGCGGCTCTCATGTTGACTGCATTTGAGAGATTCTCTCTAGATGACGAGACGCGGAACGGTGGCCTCAGGCTTGTAGATGTCAGCTGATACATCGCTGGCCTGGGGCAGTTTAAGCTCAGCAAGATAACTACGTGTGATTGCTTCCGTTTGGTGACTCTATGTTTGTGTTTTTTTCTATATAGACGAAACCCGGGCTAGTAAGCCCATGATATGCACTAGACCCTGGGTGATACCAAAGACAGGCAAATTGTAAGGTAAAGTCATAACGCAATCTTCTCTACATCACTTTGTTCATGCAACTCAACACTATCACAAGCATGTGCTTCTGCAAAACACAACAGTAATCCTCGTCAACTTCTGCTCATCGGAGAATCAACTCCCATACAATACGATACCTCCACAGCATCCTATACGCATCGACGAATCAATCGCGTTTCCACACAGCATCGTCCGGGGTAGGCTGAGACTCACCGGCACTCCTGTAACCTCCAAGCCATGCACCGTGAGAGTATCATAGATGAGACATGGATCTCCAATAGAGTAGTCCCCCAACCGGTCACCTTCAAAGCTGGGTCTCCGGGCATACTCAGCCTTCTTTTCTGCGGAAAGCCGAACATATTCTAGATACGCTGGGTTTCCAGGAGAGATCACATTATCCGCCAATACAGTCGTCCCTGGAGCTACCAGTCTCAACTCTTCACACAACTTCAAGTCATTTACGTACTGAACCTTGAAGTGGTCGAGGAAGATCATGTCAAGCCCTCCATGGGGGTAAGTCTCCTTGAGTGCACGCAATGACTCCCGACACGGCCCAACCATAATTTCCACAGTATCTTCCAGGCCGGCTAACCTGATCAGAATGTCCGAAATTGCCGCAAAGACGGGATTCAATTCTAGGCTGATGTATTTTTCGCCACCGGCTCGCTTAAGCGCATCACCGAAGAGGATGGCAGAGTAGCCGACATATCCTCCCAGTTCGACCATGATTCGGGGGTTGCGGTCTTTGATCATCTTCACAACGATAGCCCCCTTACTTTGGCCAACGTTCATGAGAAAATCTCTTTCCCGGCCAAATTCGTCGATCGCAGCGAGAATCTTTTCTGGGTCGCCATGCATCTCGTTGTAGGAGGGGTGAGATTGAATGTATTCGAGAAGGGCTTGTTCGCGGCCGTCATTGTGCTGGTTGCGTTAGTCGTGCTGGGAAGAATGTATTGGGCAAGCTTTTTTCCTTACAAAGATTCTTTCTTCTGGCTTGTAGAACGACATTGTTCACAAGAAAAGTCTATTACTAAACGAAACAAGTCAGTCCACGAGACCTTTTGGGGTAGTGGTAGATGGCAAAGCAGTCGAGTATCGCCGTTTCGTGCAGATCGGGTGGATTCGAAATTAATAAGTTTGGCTCTCGGCGTATCAGATATACCCTCCCTCTCCGTCAACCTAGAAGGCCGAGGCCTGACTTGTTTTTGCTTATGATCAATAAGTCCCTAGGTGGTAGCAGCTGACTGGTTCAGTCACCCTGAAAAATACGGAAGTTGGTTGCATCAGATTCGCAACAATCGGTTCACTCTCTTATTGGTCCGCGCATGGCTGGTACTGACAGAAGTCATGATGGATCCCGGGATCGATTAGGTCCATATCTTGTATTGTCTGGTAGTGATGGCTTAAGACGCCATTTTTGTGCAACAGTGATCGAATTCATAGTTTCCAAGTATTGCTCTGCGCGTACGCATACTTACCTGAAGAGGGAGGATACAGCAGAGACACAGCCTATGCACTCGTGCAGCTTGATCGATTGGTCCAGTTGGTAAGCCCTTGGGAGATAGGCCACGGCCGCCAAGAACCAATGAAGAACACTAGTGAGGCCCTAACATAGCCTTAACTGGCTTCATAAGGTCACCATTTCTGACTGCGACGTAAATGCGGGTAACGTGAGATCCGACGGTTTTCTTCGATTCGCCGGTATCACTGTCACCGGCAATGGTTGGATGATCGCTGACTCCCCGATGAAATGGCACTGCAAGGTCGTGTCGCACAAATACATACGTGGATCTGGTCACGGCTCCGAGGTAGGAGGGGGTGGAAGGTTTTGCCGTGAAATCAGCTCGGGTATGGGTGTAGAGATCGCAGAGCAAGAGCAAGAGCTTTTCTTTCCACTGCTTGGTCGAGCTGCAGAATGAGGACGAAGGAACCGCTGTTGCCACCATTTTTTTACCCATGAGGTAAGCAAACGACTGTGCAGCTACCTTCTCACAGCGGTTGCTGGGATCGAGCTGGGCTGTATCTATCCAGGTCGATGCGATCTGCGACCATACGTTCTCAAAATGCGAATCACCCAGCTCGTTATCAGTAGTGAAGGTCTTGCCATAGAGTTCTCTCGACTTTGCTTTGGCGGTAGCGAGAAATTCCAGGTTGAGAACACGGAGATCTAGTGCTTGGCAAAGAACGTACAAATGTGCAGCACACATCATCGACAAAAGCTGCACCGATTGGCCTGTACACCGGGCCGAGACGAGCGCCAAAGAATTAACTGACTGGTTACCCATCTCGGCAGTCTGAATGTGACTAGCAACCGAATTGGCGAGGTAGGCCAACTCGGAGTAATATGCCGTCATATGAATGTCTAACCCTTTGACTGTGAAGGAGACACTGGGGTCATCTGCACATAGGTTCGGTGGCAGTCCTCCACTCAGGCAAGGATTGGTGAGCTCGTTACATTGTCCAAGTAGGATCTTTCCCAACATAACCAGCACACCGCGGACTTTCTCCATGGCAGAAGTTACCGAAACTGCCTGGAAGTTGCCTCCATGGTGAAAGCGATCTCTTGACACGTCGATAAGTGGATTATCCGTGGCTGAATTCAGTTCAATCTCAATTTGCCGGTCCGCATTTAGAAGATCCTCAAGCTGGGGCCCAATCCACTGGGGTGCAGTGCGCAAAGCATATCGGTCCTGTGCCAACCCCAGCTTATTCACATCTGTCTCTGGAGAAAGATGAGATCCTCGAAGACATGAGCGGATATTTCTTGCCACCTCTTTTTGGCCTGGGTGTGGCCGGCATTCTGAGATGAACTCATGATAGTTGTCGACAGTGCCTACTAGGGCTTCTGTTGCCATGGCTGTACAAACTTGCGAGAGAATGGCCAGATTATGACTGTCATAAAGCACTAATGACGCTGCAGCAGCGCTAACAGCAGTACCGTTCATAATGCCCAGACCTTCTTTGGCATTTAGTGACAAGGGACTGATGTTCGCTTGCTGCAGAGCTGCCTCCGCGGTCATAAGTCGTCCTTTGCCATTTTCTCTCACCTGCACGTAGATATCCGGATTTCCTTCGATTAACCCCCCGATGTAAGACAGGGGCGTGAGATCCCCAGATGCAGATATACTCCCGCGCAGAGGTATCACTGGCGTGATCTCCTCATTCAGCACATGGAGCAGAAAGTCAATGATTTCAATCCTGACCCCCGAATGTCCGCGGAGAAGTGAGTTGCAGCGTAAAAGAATAGTACCACGGACAGTCTCCTGGGAGAGGCTGTGCCTATCCTCTTCCACAGCTCCTGACCCGGCAGAGGCTGGATCGGGCAGGATCCCGCATTGATGGTGTTGCAAGAATGAATGTTGAAGGAGCCTCAGTTGCTCCGTCCGAGTATCCGAATTGCCTCCACATCCGGTATTGACACCTATTTCCACTTCAGCCCGCGCACACTCCTGGATCTATTATCTGATGTTATGATGCGTACCGTAAACCTGCTCATTTCTTTCAAGAAGACGCGTCAAAGTTCTCATGCCCTCTTCTAAGCGCTGTGCTAGTTGTTCTGGGTCGAGCACTGACACCTTTGTAGATGATCTGATCAAAGTTGGGACAAATCACCTTCGATTTTAGTCGTTCAGACAACACTCACCTTGACACAGCTACAACTGCTCCTAAGCCCAGCGAGTCACCATCTAGACGCACATGGCTATTTGGCTCGGCAAGCCTTTCCAGAAAATTCCAGGTTTTCTGTAGATGACCCAAATGGGAAGACATTCTCGATCTAGATCAAGGCAAGCTCACTCTAATAACTCTGATTTGCGTTTCGAAGAGTGGGGATTGACGTTGTACCAAGAATTCCTGTCTGGCCACCCAAGGGCTGGAAAAAGCCTAACTTATATATTGTGGTGAATAAGTGATAGTTTCCACTCACGCGTGTCTGGCGCTGGAGAAAGGCATATGTGGTGTTGGTACTCGTGGGCTGATGTCTAGAGATATGTAGTTCTAGGCTCCGTCGGATGCTCAGAGTTTTTACGTCGCCATCAAAAACAGGGTAGTGTAGACTGAACAAGGAAGGACCCCAAGAAAACCCTGTAATCTCAGCTTTAGCGTAGGATCGACATTGGCCAGTGGCGTACTCACCTTTGATTACATATAGCAGTCCACATTACGGTGTAACACAATCATATGGCCAGAAACCAATGACCAATTTTGACAACATCTCATCCAGTGATATAAGCCCTATTGCCAGAAGCAAAGATTCAATTTGTCTGCACTATGGCCCTGGGTGCTAATGATCAGTTTGACGTCGTAATAATTGGAGCGGGGCCAGCTGGGTAGGTATCAGTATCCATGTGCCACATACAGAACCAGCTGATAATTGTCAAGTCTTATGGCCGGTGTTTGGTTGGCTCAAACAGGCGTCAAAACTCTGATCGTTGAGGAAAAATTACGGAGGACCCTGACTGGGCATGCGGATGGGCTTGAAAGCAGAACACTCGAAATTTTGAATAGCTTTGGCCTTGGGGAGCCGATATGGATGGAATCAAATAGGACAGTTGACGTCTGCTTGTGGGTAAGTACACAATGAAGCCTTGGGCCGAGGCCACAAATTCCTGATACGTAGGTACAGAACAGTTTGGAAGGTGGTCTTCAGAGAAAAAGTGTGTCTCCTAACCACAACCCTGGCTGGTCTCGATTTCAAGAAGCCACATTATGTCAAGGTCGCATAGAGAAGCACCTTTTAAACTTTGTGAAGCGACGTGGAAATGTGAAGATCGAGTGGGCCACCGTTCCCACTTCGCTAGACATATCCAACCGTGAGACGGAAACGCCTGGCTTTTATCCTATTGGAGTCAGAATCAAATCCTCCAACCTGGGAGCAGATGAGCAGGTAGGAAATATAATCCCGGTAATGATCGCGGTCTAATACTGTCACACCCGGAAAGATGGAAGGCAAGCATGAGAGGATGATTAAAGCAAAATACTTAATCGGTTGTGATGGTGCTCATAGCTGGGTCCGAAAACGGCTCGGTTTGGCCTCCCAAGCAGATCAGACTCCTGATGGGCATTGGGGAGTCATTGATTGTATACCCCTCACAAACTTTCGTGTGTACTCCTGTCTAATCAGGAACTTGGCAAGCTTGCTAATAGCAACATAGCTGACATCCGAAAGAGATGTATCATCAAGTCAGATGGCGGTAATCTCATGATCATACCCCGAGAAAGGAAGCTAGTTCGCTTCTATATCCAAATATCGCCTATCGTTGCAACTAGCTTCAAGGCCAACAATTGCCTGTCGACTTTGATCAGAGTGCTCAAGGACATCTCGCAGCCGTATACCTTTGATACTTGCCATATTGAATGGTCCACGATATACACCGTCAGACCTACCCATGCTCCAGGTGGTGAAAGACTCTCCAGAGTTATCACAAGGCTGATATTGCCAAGGTCGGACAAAGACTCTGCAACACATACTCGGTGAAGAACCGCATTTTCCTGGCCGGTGATGCTGTTCACACCCATTCCCCAAAGGCTGGACAAGGTATGAACGTCAGCATTCAGGACACATACAATCTAGGTTGGAAATTATCTTCTGTTTTAATGGATGTAGCCACGCCCGAGATCCTCAGGACCTACCAGGCCGAGCGACTTCCTGTAGCGGAGAAATTAATTGCCTTCGACCGAAGAATATGCTCTGAGATTTGCTCCAAAACCAGAGCAACAATTTCTGACTGCACAAGCGATGAATTTGCCGGTCTCAGATCAACCCTTTCAGAGGAAAACACGCGCGCCTCGGGCCTTGGTGTGATTTATGGGTCTGGTCTTCTAGTGACTTCCACAGACAATGAGGATCCCATTCGATGCAGAGATAGGATGCACCATTGTTGTCCTCATAGTAAGCCCCACTTGGCCAGAAACATCATCGTTGGTAAAAGGCTGTCAAGTCAACCAGTCCTTTGTCAGAGCGACTCTCGACCCTGGCATCTCCAGGACAGACTTGTCAGCACAGGCCAGTGGCATTTGATCATATTTAGTGCAGACATAACAAATATCATCCAGAAGGCTCGAGTGGAGAGACTTACGGAAACATTGTCTCATCCAGAATCCCTGATCAACCGCATAGGACTGCCAGGTGGGAGCCCTGTTGGCTCAGTTGTGACATATATGATTCATTCTGCACCACGGAAAGAGGTGGAGTTTATGGATTTGGCACCAATACTGAGACCTTTCGATCATGAAACAGGCTATGATTACTCACGGGTCTTTGCTGACAATAAGGCAAATGAAGAAGTCTGTGGTTGTGCCTACCAGGATTATGGAATTGGGCCGGAAGGCTGCATGGTTTTGGTCCGACCTGATCAACACGTTGCTTTTATCGGAGCTTTGGAAGACACAGATGCGTTGTATGCGTTCCTTACCAGGTTTTTCGTGATAAGATAGAGAAAAAGATGTGAGCTCACATATGTCATTGCCATCTATGTTGTTTGATATATCTTTCGCTAACTAGACGAGTCAGATTAGATTGGTGGCAAGTGAGAGTTTCCGTTGAGACTTGCAACCGACTGTAGACAGACCGATCACCTGACCCATTTGTTGTCTTTTTGCTATGTGTATATTCACCACCGACCAAGGATGCTTGACCATCTTTCTTGATACTGTCAAGAACAACATAGATCAAAAGGAATATATCCCTTCTAGCCACGGGCGTAGAAGGTGGAATATAGCATGTCTCAACAGATACCATAGTACCCTTCCGTAGGTTTACTTCGTTCGATTAATCTATCTTGGCTGGGTGGTGACGCCAACTAAGTCTGGGCCCTAGCCATATGTGTAGATCCAATCTGCGGTACGACAAGATTTCAGAATCCACTACATGGAGATAGACGCTCTTCAGGAAGTTAGTAGAGGATCAAGTATTAAACTTAGATAACGGCTGCAACTGCAGTAGTATTGTTGCCTCGCACCGAATAGGAAATTAAAACCTCCCCAAGCCACAGACGTTCCTCTTCATCACAAGCGGGAGGATATTTCCTCCCATATTGTATTATCTAGTCTCAGGCAACGCTCAGCCTAGCCTTGCGGTCTTAATGTCCGACCAGACGATGTATACTCGAATTTCAGGCGTGGTCTCACATTTCACTGGCGGAAGAAACAAACAGCATGGTGATAATTCTACTAATCATGGAGTTCTTTAAAGCCTAGATCAACATGTGAACAACAGAATACCAAGTATAAACCCCCAGAGGAAGCCTGCCTATCACTACCAGTCTTCTACGTCTGCACAAGCCTGCATACAATCTACTGGTTATTCGCTCCGCTCTATAAACACCGTATGATCTGCTTCGTCCAGAATTTATTTTCTATACTGATATCCAATTCAGCGCCTGTCCAGTATCTACCAAAATGAACTTGCTAGGAGCAGGATCTGGCCTTCTCGTGGCGGCGAGCAATGTTTTTGCCGGACCATCCGCCTACGCAGTATGTCAGACCGGGTGCTCGGCACTCGTCGTGTCTTGCTATGCAGCAGCAGGCTTTGTATTTGGCATGGTACCAGCAGTCTCAGCACCACCTGCGATCATCGCCTGCAACTCTTCATACGGAACCTGCCAGGCAGCCTGTGCTTCAATACTGCTGGTACCGTTCCCATAAGGCTTAGGTCATGGGGGAATTGCGCCATCAAGTTTAGCTTCAAATTCCTTGCCGGGGTCTTTCATATGCCACACTGCGAATGGGGTTTGAAGATTTCTATCGCGCCCCGGGGCAATCACGACAGTTTGGAGAATGGAAGACCGACGAAGTGCAAAGAGAATAACTCTGAGGGCGTCCACTTCGTCAGTTGATGTGCCGATGTATACATTCCAAATTGTGTTTTCCATGATGTATCCTAGTCTGGTCGCTCTTATTCTTTAATTCGTGCCATTGATTTTGAGGTAAACCCATCTTAGAGTGACAATGTATAGTATTAGTTGGATACACAGTAGTCCATCCTGTGGGCGACATGTATCTCGCTACGAGGAAAGGATCCAGACGTTGGCAGTTGAATACCAACGAGGACGTTGTTCGGGCTGTGTCCCCGTTGTCCGGAGAAGATTCGGGCGGCTTCTTTGATGACATCAGCAAATGGATCTATCACGTGGGACACCCGATGGCTTATCATCACATGACCAGCTAGCATCACGTTTATCGCCTGTCTTCGGTCATTTCTCAACTGACGACCACCTCTCAAGATACCCATCGCACACTTCACAATGGCAGATACAACGAACGATACAGCTGCAGCTGCAGACCCTCAACCTCCGGTTGTCACATTCAAGAAGCGCGGCGCAAAGGCGAGTCAGAACATCCGCAAAAGGCCCGCGGCGCCCGCGATATCGCACGACGACGATTCCTCCGACTTTTCCTCCTCCGAAGACGAGTCGGGCCACAGGATAAAGCGCAGGAAGAACAAGGGTGCTGGAATAGTCTCCGCTTCATCTGCGAATACCAAGTCGGTCAATCGAGAACCGGCAGCCACCGCCGCGAGTGACAGCAAGGTCCAGATTGCTGACACAAACGACGCCACCAAACATGTCGACTGGTTCGACGAGGGTGTGAAGGATGCGCGATCAACGAAACCTCAAGCTGCTTCGGATGATCCGCAAATGCCCGATGGCACTTACAAGGGTCTTGCCAATCAGACCTCTTTCATCAAGAAGAATCCGAATGCGCCGAACAGGTCATTTGGGCCGATCAAGGCGGCGACTAATATCCGCACCATTACGGTGACAGATTACTCGCCAGATGTCTGCAAGGACTACAAGCAGACTGGGTTTTGTGGTTTTGGTGATAATTGGTAAGTGTCTGATCTTGAACACGGAACACCAATTTGCCACTCGATCGTGCGTGGCCTGTCCTTGAACATTTGCTAACCTGACTGCGTATAGTAAATTCCTTCACGACCGAAGCGACTACAAGCAGGGATGGGAGCTCGATCGAGAGTGGGAAAACGTTACAAAAGGCAAACAACTGAAGGGAACGGTGGTGGCGAGTGCCGACCGTACTAAGACGGAGAACAAGGACGATGACGAGGAGTCTATGCTGGAGGATATACCATTTGCCTGTTTCATTTGCAAGGGACCATACAGGGAACCTATTGTTACAAAATGCGGCCACTACTTCTGCGAGAAATGTGCGCTGCAACGGTATAGAAAGGATCCTACCTGCGCGGCTTGTGGATCGGCAACGAACGGCTTGTTCAGTACAGCCAAGAGGCTGAAAAAGCTTTTGGACAGAAAGAGGGAGCTAGCGGCTAAGAGAAGACAGGAAGCTATTGAAGCTGGCGAGGAAGTGAGCGACGAGGAAGACGAAGACGAAGAATGAGATGCTTGTATATAACGGCAGCAGTACGGAGAAACTAGGAGATAGATACCGCTCTATGAGCACTCGGTCATACAAGGATTATTATCATGCATGTACCTTTCTCGAAACTGCTGTATGTGCCTGAAACTAACATGACACTAAGCTTAGCACCCCGGTATATTCATATGCGATCATTGTACTCCGCAGATCAACACCCTTACTGAAACATTTGACAAGTTTCAATAAACCGGGTTACGTAGCTGACCCTTGGTTATAGAGTCCGTCTGAGGCAGCAGGGATAAATATATACCCGGCTGTTTTTGAGGTGATGATCACATCGTCCAAACCATGCGGATGTGGCTGTCTTCAGGGTATCTGCATCGACTGGCAACAAGAGCAGTGATGTATCAGCGCGCTATCTGGACGGTGACCATGTGGCTTAGACCTATGCGTCTTCTCGAACGGCATAGAATGCTATGATCATGATTCAGCTTCCCACAGGCCAAGGCTGAGTCGACTGTGGGGGGCAATACGTATGCTTCGATCCACCTCGGAGGCGCTAGCCGTGCCCTAACGCTCTCGTGGGGATGCCGGCCGACATGCGGCCACTTGTTGCCTTGGAATGATATCAGATGTCATTCTGATAAGACTGTCCGACAGTGAGTGGTGAACCTGGAAGCTTTCACCATGCGACTAAAATGGGCAGGTGCCAAACATGCTTCCTTCCTTCTAGGTGCATCATACCGGGATTGTCAGGAACCGCGTACCAAATATGGGACACCATGAACTTTAAAGACCATCCAGTCCGACCTCGGATTTAAGATGCAATCTGTTCAGACCCACGCCCCTTATAGGCAACATTGTTTTGCCCCTAGGTACTCCATAGTGATGGGGCCAAACACCAAGCGGGGGGTTTGAATATAGAACCGCCGTCTCAGAGGAGTCATAGCATCATCCAAGCCACAAACGCCTCATACACCACGATGTCACTTGCGCCTAATTTTGTCCCACTTATGCTTGAGGAAAGGCGTTGCCTACTGTGGCACTTGGTTGGCTCCACTCTTGCCCCCAGTAACATGGTATTTAAGACCTCCGGTTCACCTTCCCCTGGATAGTTGATATCCCAAGCATCCATCTTCACACCAATTCACAATGGGTTTCTTCCATCACCACCACCACAACCCTCCTCCTCCCGGTCCTCAGGGACCCCCTCCTCCAGGCCCCGAGCCTTGGAACCGTCCAGGTGGCCCTCCCGGTCCTCCGCCACCGGGTCCCCCTGGCCCTGGCCATCATCACCCTCCCGGACCTCCTCCCGGACCTAGAGAGCCCTGGGACCGCCCTGGTCCTCCTGGCCCCCCTCCTCCGGGTCCCAGGGATCCTTGGGATCGCCCTGGCGGCCCCCCAGGCCCTCCTCCCCCGGGACCAAGAGATCCCTGGGACCGTCCTGGTGGCCCCCCCGGTCCTCCCCCGCCTGGCCCCAGAGACCCCTGGGACCGTCCCGGTGGTCCCCCGGGCCCTCCGCCTCCAGGGCCTAGAGATCCCTGGGGTCGTCCGGAAGGCCCTCCTGGGCCCCCTCCTGGTCCTAGAGAGCCTTGGGACCGCCCTGGTCCTCCCGGTCCGCCCGGTCCTCCTCCCCCTGGACCCCCCGAGGTATGTCATACCGATAACCGAAATCTGCCTGATCTCTTACGAACGATGAGATAGTACCGTCGGTGGTAAACAACGAGTGTCGGGTTGCTAGGACGTGATTTGCTTTATATACCATCTGTTTCAGGTTTCTTGTACATGATTCCCAATTGCATTACCTTACATTTCAGCATGTTCTTATCAATCAGAACAAGGCATACCATCCACTTATACAAATTTCTACTAAAGTGAATAACAACTTATTCCCACTCCCCATCTAATTCAACCTCCTCCCCTCTTTCCTGTTGACATAGAATCTCATCAATCGTCCAGTCCCGATAAATATGACCCCGCGGGATATTCGTGTCCTGAAACGGTGTACCCAGCTGCAGATGGTCCAGCACCTTATTGTAATTCTCCTCAGCATATTCCTCCGGATTATGATTCCAGATCCACTCCGCCATCAGATTCTCGATGCCCTTAGGCGTAAAGTTCCCCTTGGACGGGGCCCGAGTATAAGTCTTCCGATTAATGAGACCTAGCTTCTGAAGACAAGATACTCGGACAAAGCTAACATTGTCATGCGTAAGTAACTTACTAGACCATGACGGGGCTAAGACACATACCGCAAACGATTATGAACCCTCAACGCCCAAGGAACCTCCCCCGTCCTCCCCGCCATCCGCAAACACGTAGCCAGCGAAACAGCATCTTCGATCCCCTGCGTCGCGCCATTCCCAGACGACGGAACATAGGTATGTGCCGCATCACCGATCTGCACGATACGTCCTGCAGGGGACACCCAGCTGGGCTGGGGATCGCGCCACATGACGCGGAAATGTAAGAGTCGGTCCCTGGGGGTGAGTCGGATGAGGCGATCTGCGACCTCTGGCCAGTTCGGGATGGTGGCGGTTATTTTGAGCACTTCGTCGGGGTCCGCGCTATGGGACCAGGATTCAGTGGCGCTGGCGTAGTCCTGTGGGGTTGTTTGTTAGGTCTGTGTATGAGCTTGGGCTTTGGGAGCTATAGCTGGATGGGTGACTTGCATTGTGGGAGAGGGCCCAGGACATGGTGTCTGCGGTTCTGGCGATGATGAAGCGGATTTTCTCGCTTTGTGACGGTCAGTTAAAGAACAAGGGTATATTTATAGGGAGGATGAAGAAGCCTACCCAGTCCAAAGCTCAATCGGTCCCTCGTTACCCTCTACTATTGGGAACCGCTCTCGAACTACCGGATCAGCCATGGCGATTTCGACCGGGAACGCAGTTCGATAGAGAGCCTCCCCGGACGGTCGTGCCTGGATCTCTCGTCCCATTGTCACGCTGGTCGAATGGCTTCCGACACCGTCTGCCACAACAATAACGTCTGCGTCCATTCGATCACCATTCTCGAGGACTATACCCCCACGCCCTGCAGGGTCGTCTTCGAAGTACTCCACTGCCCGGTGGCCATATTCGACATTGATCCCGATAGCAGAGAGCTGCTTCAGAAGCATGTTGTGGAATTGGGGTCGCCAGTGACGATGGACTTGTTCTGGGGCGTTCTTAGAATTCTGACCTTGGCGGTAATTGATGTGCTTCGGGACTGTGGCACGAGCTCCGGTCAAGTCGTGGAATGAGATCGTGGGGTTGTTTGCGATTTTCTCATTTTCTATGACCATCTGGGGCCAATGATCCAGGGCGTGGATTGCACTAGGGCCGATTGTGAAGGAGTCACCTGGGGAATAGGTTAGAATTAGTCTACGTGGAGTTGTATCCGGGGGTAGTCTTGCCTGTGATGACTTGCTCAGGGGATCTCTCGATAACCCTAACGTCATGACCATTGCGTCTGCATTCGAGAGCAGCCATGAGCCCTGCGACTCCAGCTCCAACTATCAGGACGGATATGCCGGTTGCTGGGTATTGCTTGGGGCAGTCGGTTGTCACGGTCATTGCGAGGATGGGGTAGTGTCAAGATCAAATAACTATAGTAGATAGAGAGATGAGATGTTATTTGCTTTTTCATGAGGAAAATGAGAGAACACCTACCTAATTTATATGCAACATCTCGTAAGGGAGAGAATCGTACCTTGGATCTATACAATCGGTGCTTATGATCCCGACACGGTCGCGGAATCCCGGATGCCGACCGTCGTCATCCAGCCTTGCGCCCTCAGCATTCTTCTCCCCACGGATTCCCAGTACCACCCACTGCACTTCCACCCCGGTCCGCCCGACATGTCCTCCCTGGAGACCCGACATCTCAAGGCCTGCAGGCCATGCTCCAAGGCAAAGGTCCGCTGTGATCCCGGTCCGACCGATGCTTGCCACAGGTATGAATGGATCAGGCCACCCACGGCCCCCGACCATGATGCCAGACACTAATGCTCAGAATAGATGTCATCGCCTGGGAAAGGAATGCATTAGGCAAGCCCCGAAAACTCACAGTGTCAAGAAGAATACTGTCTCGTAGGTGTTGATAGAGTTGCGCATACTGTATCGTGGCTGATTTTGTTCTTGCAACAGTGATGTCGGGCGACTAGAAAGAAAACTCGACAATGTAACCACGCTACTCGCAGCCTCACAGGGCTACATGGAAGGCCTCGGTGGTGGCCATCATAGTCCATTACCTGCCAGTGAACTGACCCAGCTTGATCCTCTACAAGAAGAATCGCTGGAGAAGATCCTCGCAGAGTTCAATCAGCGAATCACGCTTTGGTTTCCATTTGTCGTACGCTCGCCTCCTCTAAGAGCCAGTGACTTGCGTACTATAAAACCATTCTTAAACCTGGTCATTCCAGCAATTGTCTGTGAGGATACATCAGCGCAGGTGGGCCAGGCCATTCGAGCCCGGGATTATTGGATGCAACATATGATAGCAAACGGGGAGCATAGCTTAGACCTCCTCCAGGGATTTCTGGTGTATCTTGGCTGGTCAGTAGGCCTAGACAAGCTCTTGCCTTCGAAAAGGTGCTGATTCTTGACAGGACACAGATTTTACCGCCACCTCCGCGTGCGGCGCAGATCAACAACTACCTCCATATCCTGGAGGCGCAAGTGATAAACCTCGATTTCTACGGAGAGGCCAGGTCACGTATCCCCGGAACGGTATTTTCCTATCTCAGAGTCTTTGGACTCCAAGGGGATGGGCGCAGTTCCCGTACCTTAGAAGAAATGAGAGCTTACCTTGGATGCTACTACTTGGTTACGCTGTATGTTTGTCTACGAAATCGCATCCTTCACTGCTGACCGCTCCAGTGTATCACTATGTCTGGGAGAGAAAGAGCCTATGCAGTACACATCCTACACGGATGAGTGCTGTCGGACGGTGCAAGAAGCCGCCCAGTGTGAAAGTGACCAATACCTAGTGCAACTGGTCCGCATCGCCCACATGGCGGAGAAGATATACCGCGCAGTCCAGCGCCACGAGGTAGACGCTCCGACGGGGCTCGCACCGACAGCAATGGGCATACGCTGGCTCCAGAGAGAACTGCAACAACTCAAGGATTCATTCGTATGCGACTTCCCACGGTCCGGTATGTCCCTCACGTCCCCATGCTCGACAACCCACTAATTCACCTAGCGATCCTTCTCGTCCACTACCACACCCTCGAGCTCTTAACATACCGCGTAGCCCTCGAGCGCGACTTCGAAACCGCAAATCTCAGCAACTACCCCCTCACACAAATCGACGTACTCTGCTCCTGTCTCAACTCCACCAAATCCCTCTTCGACGCCATGTTCACCATCCCAACCAACCTCTACTTCCAAATCCCCTACACCTGCTGGACCCAAGTCGGCCACGGCCTGGCCATTCTCTCGCGCCTCCTCGTCCACCACGACCCCAGCGGCTACTGGGACCGAGAATGGGCCCAACAAACCATCAGCTTCGAGAACGTCGTCAACACGTTTGCTCTCAAAACCGAAGAAGCAATCTCCCACGCTCATGCCGAAAACATCAGCATCCCGCCCATCTTCACACACATTAAAAAACGCACCACCTTGTGGAAAGAAGCGCACCAGATGCGATGCTCCGCAATGGATCGATGGCGGCAGGAACAAGCCCAGACGTCGTCCTCGAGCGCGGGCGATGCCATTCCTGATGTCACTATGGAGGATTTACTTGCCATGGGACCGATTTGGAATTTATTCAGTTTATGAATATTCTACTCGGAGCTAGATCACTCTCTTATACTATTTACCAATGACTACCCAAATCGCCCCTCATTTTGGTTCCACGTATGTAGTACTCTGCATGAACCCGCAGTAACACAGGATTCGGCCCCAGACCAGTGGCATGAGGTGTCACCATCACTTATACAGGTGGGCCTGGATTGATTGGATTAACTGCAAGCCACGTCGACGCGTCGTTAAGCGCCTCAGTCATTGGCTGGCTTTCGAAAGTGGATTTTCGCGATTGCTTGATGTCTTCTTCCACCGGAGGAGTTCATTGGTTGGGTTGTGTAGAATATTGCCAGCTTTGATTCACTGCTTATTGGGGTTCGGTGGGTCAGTAAGTGCCGATGCCCATATGGTACCTACATATTTCGTGTGATCAGAGATTAGATACGATACTATGCATCTATGAGCGATCCATATGATGTTCACAGAAACAGGCTAATTTGATATGAGCAGGCTATATGAGAACACATGACTCCGCTAATCAGCCCATATCAGTACAATATAGAAAAGAAAAAGAAAACATCTATACATGCATCCCACTCCAGCAACCCATTCCCATGCACACAAATGCAACTGACTCATACAAAGAACCCCGCGGACCTCCGCGTGGCCATGTCATCAGTCCGAACATTCTGTTCATCTAGTCACTTGCCGCTAATCTTCTTCGACTCCTTGCCGTGTCTGGCGAAAACGGCCTTGCACTCTTTCCACGCCTCATACAACACCCACCCAGGGATGAACACCCAGACCAGGTTAAAGAAGGCGAGATAAACCACGACATAGAACCAATTTCCCGACAACGACGGGTTCCCTGTCAGGAACTCCGGCATGAAGGTCATGACACCGCCGTACAGCTCTGCCGTGGCCAGCGCAATCATGGTGAACCACAGCTTTCCCCTCGTCTCGGCGACGCTCTCTCTCCTCGAGCGTCCGGTAGAGACTAAGTGGATCCAGTAGCAGATGGTGGCGGCGGCGGTGCCGCCAAACAAGACTGTGATGAGTTCAATAGAGATGATGTTGGCATCGGCACCGCCCCAGCGATGATCTGCTTTGGCGTATTCTTGCCAGAGAAGGGCAGTCGGCCAGGTGGAGTACGTGGCGCCGTAGACGCGATCCTTGTAGCCCAGGAAGACAGGCTCGTGGTTCTGGCTAGGGGAGATAGCGACGTAGCTGAAGAAGCAATGGTAGAGGAAGGAACCTTCCATGGTGAAGTGAACGAGCGCATCGATCAAGTGCCAGAGGAACAGGAGACGAAAGCGCCGTTCATGGTCCGAGGCGGGGAGAACACGATTGGTGTAGCCGTATGCGCCGATGAGTAGGACGGCAACAAAGAGCAGAGATAAGACCATTTGCAGATCGATGGCGAAAGGCATGGCGGATAGTTCGGGGAGATTGGACCCGCTAATCTGGCTCTCGAGTAGGGTGGTGTTTTCCGTCGTGGGAATGGTGGTGTTACTGGGGTCGGTGAGAGATTGGAGGAATTGCAGCGCGTTGTCGTAGTGGACGCTCGAGGCCGCCCATAGGGACTCGAGCGAGGCTTTAAATGCCATGATAGTCGTGGGAGGATGAAAGCGCAGACCCGACAATGAAGGACAATTGCAGAGGTGTTAGGCACTGCTTCCGTAACAATGGATAGTTCGAGATACTGTTCTTTTGATTGAAGCCGAGCTATTTTGAGCCCCTGAAACGCGTGGTCCGCTATCCGAGCCTGAGGCATGGGTTCGCTTTGCCGGTTTGGGTTGGCGGGCCCCACCGCTTCTTTGTTATGGTTTGTCTTTTCCTCTGACAACTGACATCCTCCGGCTGCTCTTTCAGCCAGGAATAGCCATCCTCAATTTGATGGGGGGCATCAGTCGAGTGTTCTTTCATCGAGATATGGATGTGCTGCACAGGCGACCGAGTGCCTTCGGACTGGATCCGGACAAAGAATGACCGATGCGCTAAATCCCCGCACCGCGGATGGGATCTGCCTAGAGATGCTAGTGCAATATGAGGCACGGAGCCGGTCGCTCGGATCGAACGACCCTCGATGCAGGCATGGTGTTTGATGAGGTACTACGTACTCCGTACAATAATGTTGATTGCTATGGACTGCAGCTCTTCTATCATCGCCACGTGTAGCAGATGAACGCAATGCGATGGTCAGGCATACACTCGCCTCTTTGTCGCTCATGGCGCGAAGTGAAAGAAACCCGCATCCTCCGTCAGCCAACCATCTGTCACCGGCTACAATCTAGAGCTTTGTCTCGCCCCGAATCCTTGAATGATTCACGAAGCCCAGCCTCCCCCAGAGTCTCCACTTCTAGTCACTGCTATGATTCGTGGTCAGCCAAACTCTATTCCCGAGTAGGCTTGCATTGACCATTCGTGGTGTGTTATGTCGTGCTATGTCTCGTGGGATCCCGTATGTTTGCATTTCCGAATCCCGATACTCAGTGCGCGAGCGTTATCATGCTTGGCTCTAGTGCGGTGGCTTTCCAACACTATTGAGGTCTCGCCAAGGTCCAATATCAGAGGGGCTCATATGGAACCTCCATTATCTGCCCTTTCTCCTTTGCCTTTCATCGTTTGGTTTCTCTCTTGCTTTCCTTGTTCACAGGGTAAGTGGTCTATGGCTCTCGGATCTGACTACATATTATACCTTTCATCCTCCTGACTGGTGTTCCAGCTTATCTGACGCTGATACCCTGCCCTTCGGCACCTGCTCGTAGGGTATTGGGTCAAGTATGACTTTCGGGAAAGCTTACTTGCTCAACGCCTCTATTCTGAGTTCGTCAAAACCTAACAGTATCTACCTGCAATAAATGTTCCGCCCTGATAATCGTCAACATGGCCAATGTCGATACTTTGGATATATCGGAGATCAGAAGGACAACGTGGGAGCTATATCGCTTCTGCGATTCTATCTCTGGAAATGCCCCGGACGGCTTCAGGCAGCTTGTGGCCAACCTGCAATCCCTGCATAATCTTTTCCAAAAATGGAAAGATGATCCTACCTCAAAGAACTCTGAGGTCGGGCATGATGAAGAGCGGAAACATAATTTGCAGCGGTGTCTGAAATCTTGCTCCAGCACCTTGCAGCAGCTTAAGGAGGTGGTCAAGATGTATCAAGCTTCGGGTTTCGGAACTGGGGAGCAATTATGGCAGACTATAGATTGGACGACACAGCAAGCATTCATTGACGATGTCAATACCAAAATAGTGGCCCATAAATGCCATCTGGGCTTGTGTGTGAGCTCTAATCACAAGTGAGTGCTCAGAAGCCGTGCTTGAATAGCCCGGTCTCACGGTATAGGTCTCCTCTAGAAAGAACCGAAAGTGCAGCGACGGAAAGTTCAGCGAAAGACCTACCACCCCTGGCTCCATCATCTTTACAGATGCAAGACGAAGTCTCGCCCACATCATTCTCAGTACCCACACCTCGCCTTCACGACGTACACATTATGCCAGAGTTGGATGGAACGGAGGTTCCGAATCGGAATCCTGCGCGCACCAATACAAAACACTCACCTACGCCAGGTCACACTCGGGTTTCGACTTCTTCCGAATCTTTTGTATCTGGGCAGTCCGATGGGTCTATTTTCACAGCTACCACTCGCACCTCACCTAGTACCCCCGCTACGGCAAGCTTCAGCCCCCTATCCATGGCTCCTCCAGAAGCGTATTGCACCGAAAAGGAAGTGGTTTGGGCTCGCGGGCCAGGGTCTGGGATCTCAAGTGTACAATATCAGCGGCAAATTCAGCGGTCGAACTCAATAAAACCAGGCGAGTCAATCTTGTGGGGTAGCCCGGCTCATGCAGGGGCTGATGCAATTCAAGAACTCCACCAACGCCAATGGCGCGAACAGCTCCTCCGGTCGCTGCGGTGCGAACCACGGGATAGATTCCATCAGCCTGATGCTGAGCTTCTGGTAAAATTTGAAACGTTGTCTCATAAAGAAGAGCGCCCCCAGCATCTGACCACGAAAGGTTGGCTGCTGGTCGCAGTGTGGTGGCTCCTAAAGGTATACATTCCCATCCCTTACTCGTGGCGCATGTTGATGAAGTCAAAGGCTAGGACAGCCCTCGCCAATAGCGAGATGCCAAGCCTGGTAAGCCAGAGAGGCAGCACAAGCGCATCTACAGTGTCATCGATTGCAAGCCATCAGGCGTATGTGGACCTCTTGAAGGCTTCGTACATTCTATATGACATTGTCCTGCGGGTGGAAAGCCCACAGGTACTATTGGAAGACGAGAACAGGAAATTGATCTCAGATTTGTCAGAAGTAAGCCAACCATGTATGCTTTTCATTCGATGAAGGCTAATTGTTCGAAGGGTATCAAAGAGGACTTTGCTCAGTTTAGTAGTGTTGATGTTCCTGACTATGCTGCAATCCACTCGCAGAACCTCGATATTTGGGAACCCATACAACCTGAAGAGACAACAGTGAGTGAGGGCCTAGCTTCCAGCCCGGGAAACATCAGTTATGTCACCGTGGAGCTCGAGGATGGCGGCAATGAGGATGAGCAGGTTCTCTTCCGGACTTTCGTGAATGCGGGCATTGGAAGTAAGAAGCTCCGCATGCGAACTAGAGGGGCTCCGTACATGCTACTGCTGTCCACCAGGTATGGGGAAAGTGAGCCTAAGGTTACGATCTGCAATCAGTCCGGCAGTTTCTGTCTGCAGAGAGATTGTAGGTCTTCTCTATCACTTTGCTAAGGGTCGACTAATGTGGTTTATGTGTAGTAACACCGGGGGATCTAACTCAGTTAATGCAGGTCTCGAACGCGTCTCTCGCTGGTCTCCCTGCGATCAGGGCAGCAGAGCCTGTGACTCTGAAGTTTGACACCATGAGTGTATCAATTTCGTTTCAATACTTATCGGATATGATGCAAGTTATCAATATTCCCAAGGCATACTTTGACGCGGTCCAGCTACGAGAGCCATTGGAGTCGGACGAATTCACCGAGACTGTTGTTTTCAAAAGCTCCGCCGAATCGCTCGAGCAATTGAGGATGCCCACTATGACTTCCAGCCGTCCTCCTACGGTACATCTGTCTTGTGAAGTGCGCATCTTGGAGAGATCTTTCAAGGAGGCGTGGCGCTCCGTTCGACGCATAGTCATCTGCTCTTCAACAGCTGATCAGAACGGGCGAATGATCGAGTATTTCATGCCATTGAGTCATGTGCAAGTCAGCCGGACCAAGACTGCGGGCCTTGTGCTGCTGAAATGGTCAGACACTGGTCAGGAGAGGTCGGGAAAGACCGACGGCAACTACCATCCCCTTTTCTCCTACGTATATGACAGCAGTAATCCTAATATCGGAATCGGCATTCAATTTCGCTCCGAGGAACAGGCGGATGCGTTAGAGAAGGCCATCCTGGGCAGAAACATAAAGCCGGTGTTCACCTGGTCTCAGACCAAGAGCTCGGGCCAGGTCTACGATGTTGTAGATGCCGCGCTGGATGGAAAACGCTACAAGGCCGTGATGCTATGTCGTACCCGTGGAGAGTGGAAGCAATGTGGTCTACACTACCTTTACCGAGACATGGATTATGTCTATGAGCATTCGACTCTCCGTGTCAAATTTCCGCATGCGTTGAACGCCACTTATATATCATCCCACGTTGACCAGCTATATCGTGCCGACCAGCGCGTGTTCTTCTCCCACTGTGAGAAAGAACTCCGAGAAGTGGTTGTGGAATTCCACGACGAGCACGTCCTCCGGGCATTCATGACCTCACTCGCATCATCGCACGAGCTGATATTCTCCCGACGAGCGAACTCCCTTATGACCAAAGAAAAGCTGCTTTTCGGTCCCAAGAAGTCTGTCAAAGGGTACTCACAGGTGCAACTCTGGCGGGATGCAGAGACCCTTCGTCTCGCTGCCCGATGGAACGACCACATTATGGACCGGTGGCTCACGATGACCATCCCGCCTGGTGAACTGACCCGGTCTGGTAACCTTATTAGCTTTCCCTCGAGCAGCTATTCCCGAGGCATGATCCTCAACATGTCCAAGATAGCAGCGGGGTCGGCCAAGAACCTGAGCCGGGAGCACAAGACTGGGCCGATTACCATCTTGTTTCCCGACATAAAAGGTATGTTTACATTGATACAAAGAAATTGCATGAGGCTGATATGAACTATCAGACCGGGAAGAATTCGTCGCAGCCATAGCGGGCATGCATATGAAGTAATTTGAGGAATCCATCACTTAAATATTGACAACCTATGGATCGTCGCGCAGAATGATATCCTCGCGGGCCGGGTCTCCACAGGAAGTTGACGGAACCATGGATTGAAACCCAATTTGAACCCTCAGACCGACCAATGAAACATCACGTTCATAACAAGCGAGTATATAAACAACAAAATAGACCAACACGGTAGAAGATGGAATCGTAAAAACATGGAGCAGAAGAGTAGTCACGCCCGGGATCGAACCGGGAACCTTCTCGGCGCCTCGAAGGGAATTCGATGTGAACGAGAAATCATAACCATTAGACCACGTGACTGTATTGGATTGAGTTGGGTGGAAATTGCCTCAAATAGAGGTTGAGCAGACCATCTATATCATGCTGAGGAGATAAGTGACATGACTTACGGGCTGTCCTGAAGGGTTGAGAGGATCGATACCTCATCCTAATGATTCCCTGGATCTATCTCCACAGACTCCCACCTGACCCTGTCAGTGTATGAACCTGCTCTCTCAGCCTGGTCGTGGCATGGCCTGGATGCTGCTTCGGACTACTCTATCTGCATCGGCATCATACTTTGAGCATGACCTTTCTTTACCCCATAGCTTCGGAATATGATGTATGTATGTGAATGTATACACCACCCATATACCATCATCATGTCTAGAAGTCTGAATCCAGCATCATGAATCCACAAACCGTTATCGGGGGTATGTAGTTCATTCGATGAGGATCAACGTGTCCATTTGCGAGTATATCTTCGTTCATACCATGGAGAGGAGCAGAGGAGGTAGGTCTGGGATCTATGGGAATGGACGTGTGGTGTTAGCTTATGCATGAAGATGAACATTGTTTTTGGTAGGAAGTACGTATTTTTCGAAGTTTGATGTTTGAGAAACTCATGGTCGTTGGGGATAGCTAGAGGCCGAGTGGGAAGGTATTGTGAGGGTTGTATCGTTTCATCTGGTGGAGTTCTTCTGGTGGTTGGTTGATGGTGTGATGATGTGGGCTTGTTGAAGGTAGGAGTATGAAGTGCTGATATCAAGGTATGGATTGAGA